TACCTCTGTCTCTCTCTCTCTCTCTCTCTCTCTCTCTCTCTTTTCTATCTCCCTCTCTCTCTCTTTCTCTCCATTCTAGTTCATAGAACATAGACTCATTTAAGTACATTGCTTGTGTTGTCTTTCTCAACCATTTAGTCCTTTGCTTCAATAAAGGTATCCTCTCTCTCTACACATTTAGACACACATACACATAGATTCTCTTGAACAAAGACATATTGTACTATTTTTGACTAATCACTATTACTTGCTCTTTCTTTCTTTCTTGATTTTGCAGGCTTAAAGGAAAAAAAAAAACGAAAATCTTATATTTTTCTAAGATTTGATTTTGGCTGAGATCAATGTCTTCGTCATTGGAACAATAACTTTTCTCTTTGAGTTTATGCTTTCTCTCATTTTCTTATCTTTTTTTTTGTGTGTGTGTGTGTATAATCTGAAGAAGATTTTGGTACAAGTGTCATTCTCAAAATTTTGTCTTAGGGTTTTTTAATTTTAATTTTGTTGCTACAAAACCCCCCCAAAAAGACATGAACAACAACACTTTCAGTAGTACTACTACCACCATCAATGATGACTACATGTTATTCCCTTATAATGACCATTATTCCTCACAAGCAGTGCTCCCTTTTAGTCCTTCCTCTTCCTTTAACGACATCTTGATTCAGTCCACCTCCAACACATCAAACAATCATCTTGACCATCACCCTCATCAATTCCTACAACCTTCTCCTTTTTCTCAGTTCGAATTCGTCCCGGATTGTTCCCTCTTGTCCTCTTTCCTCCCACAAAACAATGGCCATGATGATAATCAAGAAATTATCACCAATGACAACCATCATCCATCACTTCTCCATCCTTTGAACAACACCATTGGAGACCAACCAGCTGAGCCCTCGGAGACTATTACCCACATCGAAGATTCCCAGACAATCTCAACTTCTCAAGACCAGAAAATGAAAAAAGCCAAGAAACCAAGCAGAACGGACAGGCACAGCAAGATCAAAACGGCCAAAGGGACACGAGATCGTAGGATGAGACTCTCGCTAGATGTCGCCAGAGAGTTGTTTGGCTTACAAGACATGCTTGGATTCGACAAAGCTAGCAAAACCGTTGAATGGTTGCTCACACAAGCCAAACCCGAGATCATAAAGATTGCTAAAACCCTTTCTCACCAGTGCGGCTTCAGCAGCGGCGACGAATCTCAAACCCGTAAATATACATTATTTTCTAGTTTTAAGTCTATTCAAGTTTTCATCTTAATTTTCTTTTATATCTTTATGGTGAATCTGAAATTGTAAATTTCGTAATTAATTAAGGACCGGCGTTAGGATCCATGGATACATCGTCTGATCTATATGAACTTGCATCCATGTGGACGGTCGACGATAGAGGCAGCAATACTAACACCACTGGTACGTACCTTTACAGTTGCCTTGATGTTTTACAATGATTTAGAGTCACAATTTTCTATTAAAAAAAAGTTATAAAACGAGGAAACCATTATACTTGTACAACCTAATATATTCATGGGTTTGCAGTAGAAACAAGAGGAAACAAGGTCGATGGGAGATCAATGAGAGGTAAGAGAAAGAGGCCAGAACCACGTACGCCTATTTTGAAGAAGTTATCCAAGGATGAAAGAGCCAAAGCAAGAGAAAGAGCAAAGGATAGAACAATGGAGAAAATGATGATGAAGATGAAAGGAAGATCACAACTGGTAAAAGTTGTGGAAGAAGGAGTTCATCATCAGGGTGATCAGATAGTAAAGAATGATATAAGCAAAGTGAATCAAAGTTCTTTCAAGGTGACGCACTGCGAAGAAGATATCGAAGAGCTTGGCAAGAACGATCGTTTTGCAGTTTGCAACGACTTTGTGATGACCAAGAAAGATCACATTTCTAACGAGTCTTATGATATAATCAACAAACTGAACTCACCATTTCCAATTCATCATCATCGCAGTCAAGGGGAAGCTAATTCCATTGAGGTACCTTATTCCATAAATTTTTATATTCAAGTTTTAGAGGCAATCTCAAATTTAATAATTCGTACTAGTTGTTGTGTATGTTTTGGATTGGTTATTATTATATAGTTCCACATTAGAGATTCGAATTAAGGCGCCTTTTATTTAACTATACTATTATGTTTCATGCCAAATTCTCATCGAATATTTTTTTGGTTGTGTACCTTGCAGCAGCATCAGTTTACTGAACTTCATCACTTCTTGCCGAAACCAAGAGACCTCATGTACAACTATCAAAACATGTGTTGACAGTGATTTACCGTTAGTATATATCTCAAATTAATATTAGTTTGGTGAGAGATATACATGAATCTTATTGATTTATATGAATGCTTTTTCTTTTATTTCGTTAGTGTATTAAAATCGATCGATGTGAAATAAATAAATAAAAACTAATGCAATTTGTATGATATGTTATTTTTATAGTTCGATATGCATAGCCTTTAAGCGTTTTTTTGTTGATTATTAATAATCTATGTGTGTGTGGGTGTGTTTATCTATCTCGTTTGCTCTTTGGAACCGATAATTTAGTATTGATCATATATATAGACTATATTAGTTTGAAATATCAAAAATTGAATCTTATATGATACCTTTTTGGATATAACTAATGATAGAAAACATATGAAAGGTATGATTAATTATGAGCACATGATGTTCACACAGTTCTCTTTTCTAATAAAATTATATGTTGCACTAAGCATGTGCTCTTTGTATTCCATTGTTATACTATAATAGAATATATGGGTCTGATTGATAACGTATTCAAAAATGTACAAAAAAAACTGTAAACTGTAATGGTAAACTTTTACGTAACAGTGTAAAGCTGTAAAGAAAAGCGTTACAAAAAAAAAAGAGTAAAGCTTGATAAAGTTTGTGATAAATAAAAAAAAAACGGTAGTATTTGTAAAGTTTTTTTGTGTATCACCAATCAAAGCCTATATATACGTCTCTCACCATTTTCATAGCCTCGAGCTAAGAAGTTACTTTAATTTGATGCCACTTCCAGATAGACGTATGATTTGCCATCAAACCTTGGGTGGTTGATGTTGTTATAGTCCGGTGTAGGAATGTTAAATTATAAGAAGTTACACAGCCCTGTGCTGCAGACTACACCAGAAATACACATAAAAACTTTCTCCCTTGCTTATAAACTAAATAATTTTTTGAGAAAATGCACACATCTTAAGAAATCATTTAATTTTTGCTTATTTTTAGATTAAAACATCATTTAATATCTACAATAACACAATTCAACCAATGAAAAAACAGTATGTATAATATAAATAGTTAAAACTAATAAAAATCTAATTAATTGTGCATAGAATAATTGTGAGAAAATCTTTTGAAGAAAATAAGACTAAAAAATCATCTATTCTAAAACGGAAAGAATATCAAGTTAGCGTAAAATCAATTAATTAGAGAGATGTTGCGAAAATGTCTGTTATGCATTGTCTTTGATTTGCAATAAACAAAAAGAAAAGTTTACTTTGGGCTTACAAGGTTTTTTTTTAGGACTTGTTTTGTAAAAAAGATTGTGAAAATCTCTATTTCTACGATAAAATTATAATGTGCCTATTTACGCAATTATCTTGTGGAAAAGTGCCTATATATTTTGTAAAATCTTATTATGTTTGTTTCGTATATTGATGGTTGTCCCATATTAGGTATATGTTGTGTACCTTGGTTCCTCTCTTTTCTTTGGTCTATGATTTTGCTTTCGGCTCCTAAGAAAAACACACATCCATACAAACAGCAGAAAAAACAAACTACTAAAATATCTAGTAGAATTTATAACTACAGCCTCGTAAAGTTTCGTGATTTATCAAAATAAAAAAAGAAATATATATATAAAAAAATATGTAGGCATCTGATTCTGAGATGACTGTAATATCAGATAAGAGACCTCTATTATGGGATTTTATCGTTGTTATCAACAAAAGTTAAACCACTTTTGATCTACAGTGCCTTAACATTGGATTCACGACATGTTTGAATTGTGTGTCTTTTAGTTGTTGATTACAAACACACATGATTATATTAATGGATCTATATTCATATTAACCTTATCGCCAAACATATAGAGACAATCATGGAGGATAAAGATTTTATGGTTTTTTTTTTTAATGTAAAGTTTTATTTGATTGTACTAGCTGCTGGTTCCTATATAATTAGTAAAATGGAGCTAGGAAGGGATTGCAGTACTATGGGATTAATTACAGAAGTCCCAAACACGAAGTGTACGTAGAAATTTCAGGAAGGAATATGAAAGTATAATATACTAGAATCATATTCTATGTGATCACTGAGATGACAAAAGTACTTTAGATAATAAAGAGACATTTTTGTAAGAGAAAAAAATACTAATAGTACACAAAGAAGTAAAAGGCAAATTTTATAAACAAACAAATATATCTACAGCTTCACAACATTTCACGGTACATAGGTGATAGGTCTTATATGTTTGTATTGTATCAACTAGTCGACAAATTCATATGATATGTTGTCTAAGGTCATGTGGAGTGCAGTGCCAAACATGAAAACACAATATGAGATCTAGTGCAAGTTGTTTTAATTTGGACTCCGTTATTATTTCTTTTCTTTGTAAAAATTATTTTAGTTTTTGTGTTAACTTTGAACATCTCTAAAGAATATCAGTATGCTGGTTTCTAATTAAGCACAGCACTAGTAAAGTAGAAACTGTGAGTTCTCTATAAAGAGAATGATACTCAGAGGATTATAAACCATGATTAAGGTTTACATTATTCTCTGAGAAAGAGCAAAAGAACAACAAATTTTTTTTTGAAGGAGATCAATTAAGAGTCCCCATGCCTAAATTTGTCAAGCTGCAAAACCTATTTTGGGAATTGATAAAATATTCAAAACAATAATTAATCTGCAGCTTTAGAATATAATTAAAAGAAGAAATTAAAAAAATGTCAAAATCAAATGAAACACATAAATTAGTTAAATGATGTATCTTTCTTAGAGTACGAAAAACCAAAAGAAAAAAAAATATATTGGAAGAACTAAAAACTTTATTATAAGAAAATAGAGATTCAATAAGAGATGAGAAGAAACAAAACAAGAACCAAAAGCAGATCTGCGAATTTATATTACTCAGTTTCCTAGATTATATGAGTAAACGAAGTTAACTAATCTGCAAAAACTGTAATCAAACCAGACAGTAATTTTAGAAAGAATTTAAAAAATTGTAGAAGGGAGAAAAATATATAATCTATCTCTGAGAAAAGCCCTAGATCTGAATTTGTACGAAAAGAAACCCCCCCAAAAAAAAAACCTTTGATCTGGGTAATGAGAAACAAGAACTTTGACTGTAATGACAAAAACCAAAAGAACGCAAATTGTACATATTGTGTTAGAGAGGCAGATCTATATATACAATATATAAAGAATGAAACCCGGACAGAACAAGAAAAGTAAATTAGCCGACGACCTTTGTGTGTGTGTTTTTATTTCAAACCCTATAATCAAATAAGAAGCCCTAGCTTAGCTTTGCTAGTGCGAGAGGTGTGGTGGCTACAGAGATACCAACCCTAGAAGATGTAGGAGTTGCGAGTACTGTACGCGTCCGGTTTCAATGGCGGATTTTTAGGGTTTCTTGAAAATCTTTTTTTATTTTGTTTTTTTTCTTCTTCTTTGATTTTTTGTCTTTGTTGTTGTTGTTGTTGTTGTTTAGTTGAACCCAGCAGAGGTAGCTGCCTCATAGCTAGTTTTTAAGTATTAATTTTATGAACTTTAAACATAATTTTTTAAAATATATTTAAGAAAGCAAATCTTTCTTTTATTCACAGTGAGATTTAGCTGTGGCAAATGTTCATCTTTTTCTTTCCAGCATTGCATATACATGTTGAGATCTTTTATTTTTTATCTTTTACTTTCTTTACTACACTGCACACAATTTTTGACTTTGAAACAAGTTGGATTTTTTTGTTCCCTAGATTGAATTCAAATTTATTTATAACATCAGCTATATATAATGATACTATTACTGCCATTCATATATTTTTATTCATTTATTCATATTCACAAGGCAAATTAAGTCGTATTACGTATAATAACTATGATTAAACTTCCTACCAAAAAAAAATAACTATGATTAAACTGATTATATGATCCATAAGTGAAAAATTAAGTAGAATTCTATAATTTAAATAGAGAAGTATACTACAATCAATTTTAATTTAAAAAATTTCACCTATTTAGTGTTTGTCCAAAAAAAATATTCACCTAATTTTTTTTTTATCGTATAAAAAAATTATATAATCTTATTTACATATTCGTGTAAGTTTTCGATCACTAGTCACTAGTGAAGAAATTCACTGTTTAGATTCATACAATACTCCATATTTTTTTCCTGGATGAAGTTTGTAGCTGTATTATAATTGCATGAAAAAAAAATCAATACGATTGTCATGATCGGTGTGTTTTGTTGTAAAGGCCGATACGCTCTTTTCTGCAAACTTATACTACAATTAGCTGCATATGAACTTATACCATATCCAATATAATTGACATGCAAGTTCTCAAAAGTTTTTCACACAAATATTTGTACTGAAGCCCAAGAAGGCCTCCTGATCAGTAAAGAATCAAATTTTATGCAGTTTGAAATAATAACCAGAGATGAAGGATAGAAAACTCTTCAGTTAATAAATAAGTTTCTAGATTTCACTATGTTTTCTTGTAGGATCTCATGACAAAAGGGAAAAAACAAAAAAAGTGATTTATTTTAGCTACTTTACTTTATAAAAACAAACCCAATTATTCATATATGTTTTGATGACAAAAAAACGTTTATAATTATTTACATAGACTTTCATATCTGATCATTTATCAATAATTCAATTATTCTACAAGTTTTGTTATAGGATATTAAAATTTTGTGTAAAGCTATATCGATTTTTTTTCTTACTCATTTGTCATTTCACTACAGGAGGGAGGCATAACCCAAATAGAAGTTTGTTAATTGGCGTTTTTTTTCTAGTTCATACTACGTATGTTAATGTGCGTTTATAATTGTAAAAAAGGGGGAAAAAAACATTAAAAAAAAGGTAGGTTTATGTTACAAAGCCCATTTAATATGAAAATGGAATATTGTACGTCCATATCATAGTGGGCCGATAGTGTAGACATGGGCCCTTTTTCCTTTTACTGTACAAACAATAGAAGAAATTGTTATGCTAGAGAGACAAATAGTAGTAACTGAAAGCTGTTGTAATAAGAATGCCCAAGTCGGCGACAAAAAAAAAAAAAAAAAAAGAATGCTCAAGTCTTTGCATCTCTATGTTTTGATTATTTACATTATTTTAACGTACACTTGCTATCTGATTATTTGGATAATGATTTATAAAAGATGAGTGTGATTCCCTTGATAGTGATAATTCTCTAGTACTCATCTATAATAAAGTATATATATCACCATTTCAAAATGTTAGAAGAATCGCCTCTCCCTATCAATCTTTTTCTTTCTTTCTTAAAGTACTATAAGACAATTCGAAACAAACAAAAACAAAGTTGTACAAATTATAAAGGGCTATTTGATTATATTAGCTAAAACTTGAAAGGAACAGTACATAATGTTTGTACAAATTTACATATATTCAAACGTGCTCTATGGTCAACTATTTCTTGGGACCACGTACGGATTGAAGAGATCTTCACGTATTTGCTAATGTTGGATTAGTTCTCTACGTATTAAGATGAAGTGTAATGATTTGAATAATGCGAGTTTGTTGCAAAATGGAATAACCCGACTAAGCCATGCGCAGATTTATTGGATAAAAATATTTGTAATTTGAATTTTAAGTAAGTTATAGAGGGAGGCTACCTAACACTCCTGGATATCGTGCTTCCTAACTCCCCTTCAACACCGATCAAGTCTTCTTGTTAATTATTTGTACCAAACTATTTGAATTTTAAGGTATACTTCTTTATAGTTCCTCTTCCACCAAATTTGTTGAAATTCTTATTAATTAATACTACGTACGTAGTTGTATATCGCATTTAGTAGCTCTTGGTAATATGATAGGGTTATGAATTGTAAAATGTCATTAAAACAAATAAATAAATGAAACTTGAATGAGTGGTTTTATAAAAGACGGCTCGTGCCGGTCAACTACATTTGTAACGACTCTTGCTGTAATAATAAAATGAGCCTTAATCAAAGTGGCTATTGTAATTTGTAAGTGTTAGTTATTACTGTTTTTTTTTTTTTGTTCTCTATGGGAATGAATAAACAATCAAGTGGACTTTGGAACAAAATGAAATTAGTTTATATTTATGGTTACATCGAACTAAAAGTGTTGAAACACTATTATACTATAGGTGTGATTACGTGAAGAAAACATTTGGCTAAGTAAAATAACTCTAAACGATTAAAAAAACAAATGGAAGAATAAACACAATCACACTATGTACGGGGTACAACGGCAGTGTCATAAACAACTACTTTATACAAAGCTATCGTAACAAAATATAAAAACGACGATCGAGATTCGAGAGAGAGACCGAGTCATAGTTTCACAAACGAAAACAAAAATAGAAAAACTCAGTTGGCCCCTTTTATTTACCGGTCACCGTCTTGTTGGGTATTGTTGATGATGCCTCATTGCTCAGTGACAAAGATCAAGTTGATGAGTTTTAAGCCTAACAATAGGTCCACTATCACTAACCCGACCCGACCTAAGCTAACACGATCCATTTAATCTCTTATGTCAGACTTAAACTTAGACTTAGACACGTGTTTCGCAACACGAAAGGGTATCGATAATGCAAGTCGTGATCATGATGATACATCACTTTTATAATTGTGATGACTAGGATATAAATCCGAATCATATTAAAACTATATAAGCACTATACAAAATTACATTAGGACGGAACTTAATAATAGAGCTCGTATTCATCATTTCTTTTCTCAACAAGCCTAGTTTTTTTTTTCTTTTTCTTTTTTTTTTTGTAAACAAGCCAGAAAATTTATCAGACTCATTAATTTTTTTTTTCTTACACTAACTCGCAATGTATTTAGCAGTTAATTGCATGTAAACTCGAGAAAAATTAACGACCTCATATTTACTTACTGATAGTTAGTTCCGTTTAACCTAGCAAAAACAAGTCGGGTTTGGTACTTTGGCTAAATTACCCTCTCTTGCTTTTGTTAAAGGCGGGATCAGCCTGTTGAGATATTGAAAATACTAAGCGATCGAGCAGTTTTATTTGTGGTTAGAACTTCTATGATAAGATTGTTAATTTCAATTGCTGACACATGTTAGTTGTGATCTTTGTGATAAACATGTGAAAATAAATTATTGCATATCGATTGGTCATCACCTAAATTTTGAGTGGGTTTTTCACCTCAATTGATTGCGTTACTGATATTTGTGATCCCACCACTAGTGCTTGACATACATGAACCGACGAACCAAAATAGAAAAGAAGATAACACATTAAACTTTCCAATTATGCAAAAATTGACGAAAATTAAATAAAAATGCAGATATATAAAAACAAAAATGATAATGAGAGTAGCTGACGCATTATTATGATTGCTACAATAATAATTTTTCTAATAAGATTAACGCATGTATATATTGAAACAAATAATATTTATCAAGGAAAATGAATTGATCAAACACGTAAGAGTTTAATCAAGAGATCGTTGATGCATGTCTCTCGCATGCTCGTTAGGTTTCATACACAAAAACATAAATTAAATAATTATAATGTAATTATTCATTGATATCATATTATATAACCCAAAGATCATTACACAAAATCAAGAAAATGTCAACACAATATATATGTCAACGCAAAGGCTACCGAGTCAGCCGGTAACCTAACTCCCTTTTTATACTCCATTAAATAACCTTTACATCAACGCGTGTATTAATATAAATATACGTAACTCAAACCATTTCAGACAAGAGAGAGAGAGAGAAACCGCATTATTAAGAAAACGAATCTTTTGAGTTTAAACCCTTTTCTTTCACTTGCCGGAGAAAACGACGGAGCGATGGAAAGATCAACACCGGAACATGTCACCTCCGCACACAAGCGCCTAAGCATGAACTTCCTCGTCTCTCTCATGGTACTTTGTGCTAGACACGCAAGCCGAGTCTCCAAGAAGCTTAAACCCAAGATGACTCGGAAGCAAACTTATCTCGAAGACTATCTCGAAACCCCTAAGGCTAACGGGAAGGGTGGCGAAGTAGGCGGAGGAGGAGGAAGGTTTGGATGGAGTCCCGCAAGGTCTTTCTCACCGATGAGGGCGCGTTCGAAGGAGCTCATGACGACCTTGAGCAACAAGGCGATGACTATGGTTGGTCGGAAAAATAAACCTTACGACGGTGGTGCTGTGAAGAAGACACCAGTGGAGATGGTGATGGAGGAGGATGAGGAGGAGTACGGCGTTTGGCAGAGGGAGATTTTGATGGGAGGAAAATGTGAGCCGTTGGATTACTCCGGCGTGATATACTACGATTGTAGTGGACATCAGCTAAAAGAAGTGCCTCCAAGGTCGCCACGTGCTAGTTTGGTCCCGGAACGCCCTACCCGTTCTTATGTCGGGTCACTATTAAACCCGACGGGAAAAGAAATTTAAAGTTTAGTTTTGAGGATTTGATTGTTACAATTTGCGGTGTTATCAAGTTAATGGTAAGTTCTCTCTAGGATCTTTGGTACAATCCCTTGTTATTGGTAGATGCATGACATGTTTTATGCATATAGTTGTGTGATTTAAATTTATGTATTTATTACGCTTGGCAAATTTACAAGTTGAGTATAGATTTGAAAAAAGATCCAATATACTAATAAATAAGTTTTCCATATCAACCGTTCATTACAATTCCACAAAGGATCATAGAAAAAGTGATTACATGTGGTTGAACTATACGTTTCTATTTTTATACACATGGAGTAATTAGAATTTTATTCCACGTCTATGCCTATGCGGTGAAAAGGCTCCAATGATGGACTTTAATTAGCCTAGTTAATGATTACAATCGCCAAAATACTCGTCAACTTTTTAAGACCAAATCAACGGTTGACGTTCACAGCCAAGTATTGGTGTTGACTTGGGCCTTTTTTTTTGTCTGGCTGGCTTTGACTTCAAATCAAAACACCAAGAAGTCAACAAAAATTTTGGGGTGAATAAGATTCTAATTATGTATATGCCTAGTCGTTTTTTAAATCCGTAATGTCACGTTCGAGCGTGTAACCATTGTGTATATATGCGTATTAATCTGTGCCAATCCTGAATCTACAATTAATGATTCGTTTATCCCAAAGTTAATGAAGTAGCTACTAGCTTCAGAGGGCAAGTAAGTTCTACTACAATAGTGTTTCAGTTCATGCATCAATGATCAGCCCACAATGTTAATTATTAATTAGCTAGCTAGTATAGTAAAAGTTCGAATTAAGGTTTTCTTACTAAAGTTTGGGATCTTTCCAACCCGACAAACTAATACCATAGAGTCATAGACCAGTGTGAACATAATTTTACTCTATTTCATGAATATAGGCTTTTAAATCTTACCAATACCGTATTATCTAATTACAAAGATAGACAATTCACGAAACGTATATATAGGGTTATTAATTTAGGATATTCGTTTAACAAGAAAAGTAGCTATGTAAATTGTTTTTTGTTTCAAACTTTGAAGTTTGAACACGACTTCTTTTAAATAATAAAGAAAATTTAATGTGACTAGAGAAATAACACAGAAAGGATGTAACATGTTCTTCCGTATCGTCTGAAATAAGCCAGGAAGTTACTCTTATCATGAATTGCTTTACGTGAACTTTTGAAGTAGTTATTTACTCACATGATCTATCGAAATAAAGTATTCAAAAACCATAACCGAAAGACATAATATAAGTGTCGCGGTCGCCCCAAAAATGTGAAAAAAAAAACTCGAAACAAAATAAAATATTACATTTCAAGTTACACAAAGCTTGTACATTACAAAATGTAAACGGAAACTAAAATAACAAAATGTATAATATTACCATTAACTGTGTTACTCAACGGTAAATCGAACCGGGATCAGTTAATTCTACCCAAGCAGATTATACCAATCGGTTCAGGTCAAGCACCAGGGGCCGCATCTTTAGCCCTGCCATGGAAGTAACCACCGTATTCTCTAGCGTAATCTTTGACGTGAGAGGCCGTGTCATAGATCCGACTACGTGCATAATCCATCTGATTCGAGCCAACCGGGTGCATTCCTCGGAAATAGCGGTACGTCCACGAGACGACCGCCACCGTTCCAACAAGAAATCCTGATACCGTTAAGAACCCGCCAACAAGGACAAAAACGGGAATCCAGATGGGACTCGATAAGATGATCAATGGAAGAAACACTATGAAACCGAGCAAGGCTGCGGTGACGCTTACGCCGAGGAGCAAGAGGAGGATTCCGCTGGAAATGAAGAGAGCGAGGAAACCAAAGAGCTGTGAAGAGGTTGGTGAATGAGATCGGAGCTGATGGACAAGAGAAGCGATGGGGCCGTTGCTAACGGTGGAGGTGGTAGTGGTACCGTAGATGGGCCAATATTGAGCCTCGCCGCTAGAGAACCTTTCCGCCATTGTAGAGAGCGATTGTTGTTTTTGTGTGCGACAGAGAACATAAAGAGGAAGAGTAAAACAAATGGAGGACATATTCAGCTTTTAGGTGGCATTCATGCAATGTTTGCAAACACGTGGACAATGGTCTTGGTTTCATATTGTATTGAATCGAGATTTCGGTTTAGATTCGGTTTATTTTCAAATGTATTTGACAGGGTTTGGTTCGATTTTATTTGCCAAAAACATTGTAACAGAGCCATTGGCAATAGAAGACGCAGACTAAACCAAACTTTCAAGTTACACGAAGAGACAACAGAAGAGAAACTACAATAGCAAATTGTGTACCTTTATGACAATTTATTTGTAAAAAAATCAGTAGTAGCCAACGCCTCTAAGCTCAGCAGAACTTGGTTGCTGCATATCACTAGCTTTTCCTAGAAACACAACTCGACCTGTAGGGAAGAAAAAACAGAGAATAAGATTTCCCCCAATCAAATATGTAAGAAATGCTAAATCTGCGTGAAGGAACAAATGGAGTTATACCATTTCTACGAATTGCAACTTCTCTTATACGTCGAACCAAACCAGTGACTGGATCAGTGAAAATCTTCGTCTCTAGATTACCCTCCAAATAAATAACTGTCCTGTTGTATTGAACACCAAACATGCTATTCAGTAACACATACACTAAAAAGAGTTACAATTTTGATTTTTGATTCTAGCGAGTAAGATTCAGTTAAAAGTTTCATCCTTTCTCACTGAGGATCAAAGGCACACATATTTGATTCAGTTTGTGGAATATTAGTTTCCTTTTCTATCATCATCACATAACCTCAAAAGCTAAATATGATCTCAGAAGAGAAGTACTAACCCTGGTTCAACAGTCTTCAACACAAGATCAGCCAACCGTTCAGGGTAAACAGATACACGGTGCCACTGCACAGCTGACCGGCTCGCATACTCCCTCGGGTCTTCGTTAATCAGAGGTCTCCTATTGTTCCTGATCCCACCGGTTCCTACAGAGAAGAGAGTGATTGTTCTTCCACTCTTCAGCTTCTTCTGCAAAGGAAGCTGACCCACTTGCCCCACCAAAATTGCCTAAATTTCGCTAACTATCAGTAAAACCTTCACTAATAGAAACCAAATGGTATTCACAAAATGATCATACTCAAGGCAATGATCGATCCAAGAAGAAAAAAACAAAAACAGGAATCGAAGCCATAGAAACCATAAGTATCCATTGGAATTAGAAACTAAGTTTGATACCTTGAAAACGCCAGAGTCAATGCCATTTTCGAGTGGACGCTCTTCCATCACGCGTTCTTCTCCGGAAAATCGAGAAACCGGGTCTGAAGCTTTCGGTTCAATGGGCGATTCAGTGTCCGAGTTGGCCGATAACTCGTCAAAATCGGAGTCTTCTCGGGAAGAGATGTTGTTGGTGCAGAAGGACATGGAAGATTGAGAAAATCTTGTGTTCGAGAGAAGAGATCGATAGAGTCTTCTCGAAAGCGTAGTCATTGAATTCGCCATTTTCGATCTTTACAGAGATTCTCGAATCGAATAGAAACTATGAAGGTTGGATTCTGGGTTTAACGTTAAACCCTAAAGGGCTTGGTAGAGGAGAAATTGAATGGAGCCTTTTTGGGAGAAAGTGCCTCCATTATTCCAAATTCACTAATGTTTCCCAATGATTCTAATTGACAATTTTAACCCAAATATTTAAAATTTACAAGTCTGAGCAGAAATGGTCAATGAGAAGAGAAACTTGCTTTTGAGTTTTGTCGTCACCAAAAATTCGACTCATACACTCCTATGTATCCGTAAGCATTTTGATTCTTGTAACTAATTATATTTAAACTAAACTAAAATATTAAGAATTATTTTGTCCACATAAAACTTGTAATTTCAAATAAGAAGCAAATATCCCACAAAATCTGATATTCCTCAACAACTGCACGAGCTAGTCAAGTTGTTTTTGACAAATTATCTACTCGATTCAAGAAAATAAAATACCAAGTCAAAGAGATATCCATTAATTATCCCTAAGAAGTGGTCAAGTCTAACAAATCTCCAAGTCTCTCACTCTTTTTAAACTCAAAACCTCAAGCATTCATAAGGCACAAAAAGAAAAAAAAGAAACAATCCGTGTAACTTTTGGTTGGAGCGAGCTCCCTTGATATCAATCCAAACACAACAAATGGGTTCATCGAAGAAGATCATTCTCGTTACGTTTCTTGTATCATTTTACATGTTTTCATGTGTTTCGAGCACTGAATTTGAAGTTGGAGGTGAAGATGGTTGGATCGTACCAAAATCTAAGACTCGTGGAGATATGTATAACCAATGGGCTTCAGATAACCGGTTTAAAGTTGGCGACACTCTACGTAAGTCTCTTTAATATGTTTTTGTATGCAGCTTTCATTTTAAAGATTATATGTGTAAGTACTCTTGGTGTTTTGGTGAAGGTTTCAACTACACGAAAGACTCAGTGTTAGTGGTGTCAGAAGAAGAGTACAAGAAATGCAAAGCCACAAAACCGCAACTCTACTCAAACAACGAAGACACGGTTTTTAAACTAGATCGACCCGGTTTGTTTTACTTCATCAGCGGTGTCTCGGGCCACTGCGAAAAGGGTCAGAAGATGATCGTAAAAGTTATGGAGACGGAGTCTTCGACAGAGTCTCCTCCTCCTTCTTCCTCTTCCTCTTCATCTTCGTCATCATCTCTTCCGGCGTCAACTCCCAAGGCCAAGAAGAGCAATGCCTTCAAAACAGCAGTCCAGCTTTGTAGTTCCGGTTTTGTTGTCTTTGCGGTTCTGGCTGTTTCGGTTTTTGCTTTGGTTTAATAGGTTTTAGCTGAAGATTTCAGACCGGTTTAACGTTTTGATCTCTTTAGATTTTGCATCCTATCATATTTAGTTTTGATCGCTTTGGTTTAAAAGGCTGTTTCCTTCTAAGCAGTATTCTGAATAAACTTCGTTAGCATAAACCCCATGTTTCGATTTCTGATATTTAGTTTCCGGTTAAACAGATTTAGCTTTCATTTTTCATGTATCACCTATCAATCAATAAAGTAACATACGGTTTGCTTTTGTTCATTCCATTTTTATTTTTATGTTTCGTTATGTTTTTTATGATATGATAAGCAAACGATATCAACAAGATTTGAAAGTTATATAATCACACAGAAATGAAAAATATTGCTAGTAAGCCAGGTATTATAACTTATAAGAAACATTTCATTTAAATTAAACATGCTGTATACTCTTGAAACAAAACTTGGTGGTAATTAATCAAAAACAAGTGTCCAACTAAGGAGCAAATAGTAATTTTGTAAGGCGATCCGAGACATCACGCATCTTTAGGTTTGGACTTGCCATAGGGACTGTAAGGGCCGAAGCCACTGCGACCTTGCTGATTCCTTGCTTTCCTCACTTTCCCAGCCCTACTTTCTATGTTCAGATTCACTTTAGGTGGACCAGAGAAGCAGAATGATGCTGCAACCGCCTGTGATGTTTAACATCAAAACCCGAGATATCAGAGCTATATCCCATAAACAAAATCTTGGGAAGAACATTCAACTTTTTTTTGCTTCTTTTTACCTGGAGATCGAGTCGGTGAACATTGAAGATGTCTTTTAAAGAGTGTGAATTGTATGCTGAGATATAAGCTCGGTATGCATCCTTGGCTAACCTGTTCAGATTATAGTCTTCGGTAACACATTTCACCTGTGGAACAGAACAAAAAACACTATTATCACACAACGAATCCAATTGCAAATGTTACTTAACCCAACAACATTACTAAATCAGAACTCTTACCAGCTGAGATCGAACATTCATTAGCATCTTCTCATTCAACTCAAGCTCTTTAACAGGTACTTTTGCAGCCTGAAGATTATATTACCAATTAAAACACACAAGTTTGTTAACCCACAAAATGAAATAAAAAAATTCAAAAACCATTCTTACCTTAAGGTAGCGAATAAACTGAAGCTCTTCAGGAATCAATACAAGCAAAGCCTTTCCCTTTGCTCCTTCTCCACGGGCCGTTCGACCAACCCTATGGATATATTCCTGAAAACAACAGCACCAAAGAACAATTCAAGATACACACGAAATAGCCAAAGGGATATAGAAAACCGATCAGGAGGAAGTGTTTGTCCTACCGTTGGCTTGTCTGGAGGATCATACTGTACAATCCAGTCCTACAGACAAGAAAATTAAACACAATTGTGACCTCAATCAAAAACATTGAGCAAGTAAAATTGTACACAATGAATCCAAGAACATAGATGAGGAGATGTACCACAGCCGGAATATCGAGACCACGGGCAGCAACATCAGTACATAACATGATACCTTTTTCTGCTTTCATGAAGTCGAAAAAGGTTTTAGTTCTTCTATTCTGATCCAGTCCTCCATGGATATCACAAACATCCACATTGCTTATTTTCATGATTTCTGCATGGAATTGTACCGACTTGCAAGTCGAGAAAAATACCATGATTTTCTTTTTAGGGTTCTTTTTCAAAAAGGAAATTAGAAGGATAAGTCTTTTTTCGCTCGGAATAACACAGTAGCCTTGCTCCAATCCTTCATTCGTCACCTAACAGTTTTCAAAACTTATTAAGAAAACTCTCCATGCTCCTTAAATATCCATTCCAGAGTACTTTTTTAATTCATACCTTGCGTCTGCCATCATCGACATCAACATGAACAGGAGATGTTAATGACACCCGAGCAAGATCTTTGACCTGCAAGATTCACCAAGAGAAGTAATCATTAAGAAACAGGAAATGCTAATAATAAAGACCACAACCAACAGAAAAATACCTTAGAAGTCTGAGTGGCAGAGAATAACGCAGTTTGCCTAGTCTGCAGGAACATGGTAATAACTTTAATCAGTGCATAAGCCAGAAACTTTGGCACTGTGTTGGCATTTGAACATACAAATTCCAATGAACTATAATAACAATACCATAATAAAATTCACATCATAATGGAATGTTTCTATAAAGGAAAACAAAACGAAATCTATGATACTGACAAGTAAGAACTCATCTAGTTTTCCCATATCTTCTCTGAATAGACTTCAATTAAGACCCCAAAAGATGATATACCTTTGGTAAAATCTTTAAAATCTTATTCATGTCTTCCTCAAAATTCTCTTCCAGTATCCTATCAGCTTCATCAATCACAAGGCACTGCATTTTGTAGGGAATATATAGAACCATTAACATTCATTAGCAAAAACCTTAATATACCAGGTAAAAATGTGTGAATGGCATCCATAGTATTCCTTTTGTAATTCTGCCATTAATGCAACAGAAATGAATATAGCATATGCTGCTGTCTACAACTCAGATATTCATCTATGGCATCTTGAAAATGATATCCTTCTCGCTCAACAGAAAAGCTTTTAGCATCTGCTTCACAAAAAGGAGACAATAAAACGCGCGGAATGGAACCATAGAACGGACAGTACCTTCAGGTGTTTATAAATGAAACCCTTTGTATTGTGAAGATGGTCAAGAAGACGTCCCGGAGTTGCTATCAACAAGTTTGCACCTTTCGCAAGGCGTTGTGCTTCCGACCTTCTGTTATTGCCACCAATAACCATGCCGACTGTCTGTGAGTGATGCTTGAGTAGCTCGTCCGCCACATTTTTGGTCTGAAATATCAAAATAGTACTGTAAAAATAGCAATGGGAGGCCGCAAAAGAATATACAACAATGTTCATACATAACATATCCAACGCAGTTTCAACGAATCATCTACATGAGAGATGATAACATCCCAGATTTGTTATACCAAACGCATTGCAAGAATTACAGGACTCATCTACTCGCAACCACAGTATGGTTGTTGCTAAATTAAAACGCCATAGGTAGAAAAAGAGAATTTACCTGAATAGCAAGCTCTCTTGTGGGACAAATAACAATGACACCAGTCCCATTGGAAGGGGAGAAACGCTCTTTATACAGCAACTCTGCAGCCGGTATGAGAAAAGCAAGGGTTTTACCAGAACCAGTCCTGGCAGCACCGAGAACATCTTTTCCCTCTATTAGAGGCCGAATAGATCCGGCTTGAATCTGAATGATAACATACAAGAAAGAGACTCAGCCGCAGAACCCTGTTTTCAGTTATGAAGATCAAAAGAAGGTTCAGATATTCGTACTTGCGTCATGTAAAGATATCCTATCTCCTTCATAGCTTTTGAAGTTTGCTCTGATAAGTTGAGGGATTCAAAAGTCTCGTTAGTCATTATCCCTTCCCTGACAATCAAGTTATTCTTATCTTCTTCGCCTTCCTCCTTTGCTTCCACCTCTTCCTCGATTTGGCCTCTCCCTTGCAACTTGACTTCCTTAACCTTCTTTCCACTCTTCTTCTGCATTTCATCTAAGACTTCCTCTACATTGTGGGTTTCTTCTTCCGGTTTTTGCTGCTCATTCTTCTTCCCACGAGTCCTCTTCCTTATCCTCTTCTTCAGCTCTTCAACGGATGCCTTCTCCGATTCAACCATGTTTTATCTTTCTCAACCAACCAATTCTGCAGCAAAATTACAGAGTCCATAAATACAAAAAACACCGCAAAAAAAAAAGAAAAATCGATTTTCAATCCAAAACTTAACGATTATAGAGAAATTGATCTAGGTGAAGTTTCTCGGAGCCGTGTAGTACAATAGAAGATGAAAAAAACTAGGATTTAATCAAACGCTGTGCTCAATTACATTTTGGATACAGACCTTCGAAAAGGAACAACCACTGGAAGATGAAGGGTAAAGAAATCAAACTTACTTTGAGAAACGAAACCACACGAAGGATTATGATGCTAGAACGCAGAGGATTGAAGAAATTTGCTTAGGAGGAAGAAGTTGAGAGCGGTCAGAGTGATAGGTAACGCGGCGCAGACACAAGGTTTAAGGCCTCTAGGGTTTAACCAGTGTTTCGTTCGAACTTGTAACTCGTAACCTTTTTTTATTTTAATTGTTTTTCTTTCGGCTTATGTTTTCGTTTTTTTATTTTTTTTGGACCAATATTTATTTATTGATTCTGTATAATAAAGTAATTCTTGCAAATACATGTCATAGAAAATTGTAAATGATTATGTAACATTAGCAAGATTTTAGATCTCTTTTTATATTTTGGTATATGGTTTTCATTTTATTCAATTAGTTAACTTTTTGTTACCACAAGAGTTAAATTAATTTGATTCGTTGCAGTAAAAAACTAAGCTTAAAAGAGAAATTGCTCATTCTTTTTGGGAATGAATTGAGACTGAGCAACATTCATATCTAACACGTGATCTTTATTGTAAGTGTTACCAAAAAGTTTGGTATGAGCAAAGAAGATAACAGTGTGTGACCTCGATTCACTAATTAGAGAGAAACTGTATGCAGCAAAGCTAGTAATGAAAACCATTAAAGGACTTGTTCAAAAATTTAAGTAGCAAAACGCTCTTAGTTTAAGAGAAGCCAACACATAATATATCTTGAGAAGAGAGTAAACTCATCGATAGGAAACGAAATTAACTAGAGGCCAAAAAAAGCTAAATAAAAGATAGAACAAACACAAGAGTCATCTCCAACCAAAAAAAGTCTCCTACTCATCATCATTAAAGACGGTCTTCTTCCCTGCAAGACCAAATACAAAACAAAAGTTTGTAAGAACACTAATTCTACAATGCACAAAAGAAAGGGGGACATGAAGGAAGAAGAAACAAACCTTGGGATGATGCAATTATACTTGGTTTGCTGGGTCCTCTTCCAGGCTTACTGAAACGGCCTGGTCCCCTACCATCTCTACCAGGTGCCCTACCAGGTCTTCTATTTGAGAAACGGCCACCGTCCTCCCTTTCAGGTCTGTTATATGAACCAGCCCCCTCATCAGTAACTCTTGGTCTAGCCTCTTCCACCGTTATGTTCCTTCCTCCAATATCACTTCCGCCGAGTTGCAAAGCCTCATTGAATCCACTTTTCATATCTATGAAAGCCATCCTGAAAGAATAAAAAAAAACTTCCATGAGCGTCATAGTTATCATCAATCGCCAAGGCAGGAGAGAAGAGTTACAAACCCCCTAATGGCACCAGTCTCACGATCTACTGGAATAGAAATCCTTGCCACTTCTCCACAGGTACTAAACAGAGTTCTAAAGGCACTCTTGAGCTGATCATGTTCAAAACAGATATTTAGCGGTTTGCATCAGAGATTTACACAAATAGCAAGTATAACATGTCAGTCATATTGGTTTGAGGAAAAATGTGGACAAGAATTTTACTTCATCTTCTCCAAGAGAAGAATTGAATCCGTTCACAAAAAGCTTTCGACTTTGGCTTCCTTCTGCTATGCGACCAGGATTGCTGCATAAATTCCAGCAAAACAATATTAGCCTGGAAACAAATATGCATAATCAACTTTCACAACATGCTCTCATATGGCGAGTAAGAAATGTACCTGCTCCTTGGAGTATTGCGTGCAGATTCGTTAGCAAGATCAAGCCGGACATCACGGCCTAGTAAGGATCTACCATTCAGTTCCAATGCCTGCATTCCAAACACCCAGAAGAGATCCAATAATCATTGTAATTTCAAAACCACTCCAATGATTCCAATGTTAACCAATATGAATTTACCTTCCGAGCTACTTCTGCAGAAGCAAATTCAACATGCCCAAATCCCTTCATCTTCCCATCTTCATGTAAAGCAATTCTAACATCCACAACTTCACCAGCTTCTTTGAAGAAATCTTCTCTGTATTTTGGGTTATAAATATCATACAACTAACACTTAATCCGACGAACCAGAAAAAAATGTTATATAACTTACATGTCAGCTTTCTTAACTCCATAGGAAAGATTTCCAGCAAATAGGGTCTTTGTTCCTCCCTGATTCTGAGATGTTGGTGTCTTCGGCTGTAATATACAAAATACATCACATAAAACTTGATAACGAAAAAACGACACTACACAGAACGTACATATAATCATAAATAAAGAATAAAATTCATAAGAACTTCACATGAGTTTTTACCTGTTTTGTAATTGATTTCTGCTCCGCATCCACCATTTCAGTATCAGAATCCTGGTTTAGGAAAGATAGAGCAAAAATTATTATTAAACATTCGCAAGTGATTTTCTATAAAGAACTATCCATCCAAAGGAGATACGGAAAAGAAGCAACAATAATGGTACCTTTTTCTTTGGGGTCACTTTCTCATCTTCACTCTCCTCCTCATCAGATTCCTCACTAGAGCTTTCTTGTTTAGAAGTTTTTGTTGGTGAAACTTTAGCCTGCAAAACCGTTTTAACTGTCACTTCTGAAGCATATAAATAATGAAAAGAACTTGGTGGAAGAATGTAATTACCTTCTTCGTTGGAGGTTTTTCATCATCACTTTCCTGCAAGTTGGAAAATATTATGGAATATTAAGTGTATAGAATATAAAACTATCACAAATCATTAGAAAATATCCAATCTAGAGAAATAACAAATAAAGATACACTGAAACTATCATGTTTTAATTAGTATATATGAAGACATAGATACTGAATCAAAACAAACCTCATCATCAGAATCTTCCTCTGAGGATGTTGAATCTTCTGCAACTGGTTTGGCACTCTTAACAACTGTTGGCTTCTTGGCAGGTGTGGGCTCCTATGAAATATAAATCTCAAAGTTAAGTGTATAATATTACTTTACCATTGAGGTATCCATGTATAACTCAATTCTTACCTCGTCTGAAGAAGAATCTTCTTCTGATGAACTGCTCTTTGCTTTGGCATTCTTAACGGCTGCAGTTTGCTTCTTAACAGGGGTAGATTCCTATTATGGTTTATCAAAACAAAAACAAAAAAAAATGAAAATCAACCATACATCACTCCTCCCAACATTGAAATAAACTTGTAATGATGCGATTTCTACCTCATCTGAAGAAGATTCGTCCTCAGACGAGCCGCTTTCTGCCTTAGGTTTTTCAACAACAGTTGGTTGCTTCTTTGCAGGTGCGGCCTCCTAAATAGGTTTTATCCAAAAAGAATTACGAAATAAGCTTATGATATTTGTGTAATATTTAGCTACCATGTAAATCACAATGTTTACCTCGTCAGATGAAGATCCGTCATCCGATGAACTGCTGTCTGCCATAACAGCTGTTGGTTGCTTCTTCACAGGGGTAGTTTCCTAAGTTTTATTAACCATATTTCAATTAAGCTTTCACAGGGGCAGTTTGCTAACATGTAATGAAGCAACAACTCATACCTCATCTGAAGAAGAATCATCCTCAGATGAGCTGTCTTTCTTAACAATTTCTGGTTGCTTCGTTGCAGGGGCAGGTTCCTAATCAAATTTTATAAAAGAAAAAAAAAACGAATTTTAACTAAGCATATGATATAATGTTGTAAGATTGAGCTAACAGGTGCAATGCAACTCCTACCTCGTCTGAAGAAGATCCATCCTCGGATGAGCTGTCTTTCTTAGCAATTGCAGGTTGCTTCTTTGCAGGGACAGATTCCTAATCAAATTTTATAAAAGAAAAAAAAAAACGAATTTTAACTAAGCATATGATATAATGTTGTAAGATTGAGCTAACAGGTGCAATGCAACTCCTACCTCGTCTGAAGAAGATCCATCCTCGGATGAGCTGTCTTTCTTAGCAATTGCAGGTTGCTTCTTTGCAGGGACAGATTCCTAATCAAATTTTATAAAAGGAAAAAAACGAATTTTAACTAAGCATATTATAAAATGTTGCAACATTGAGCTAATATGTGCAATGCAACTCCTACCTCGTCTGAAGAAGATCCATCCTCTGAAGAACTGCTCTCTACCTTCGAAATCTTCTTCACAGGGGCGGTTTCCTATCAATGTTTCAACAAGAAAAATTGCAAACTAAGCTTATGACATCCCTCTAACATTGAGGGAGCATGTAATTATGCAGCAACTCATACCTTGTCTGAAGAAGAATCATCATCAGATGAGCTGCTCTCTACCTTGTCTCTCTTAAGAGGTTCTGGTTGCTTCTTTGCAGGGGCAGGTTCCTACATTATTAATAAATCAATTTCGAAGAAAACAAATTTTGCAACGCTCTAACATTCAGAGAATATTTATGATGCAATCCCTACCTCATCCGAAGAAGAATCATCCTCCTCTTCAGAAGAAGAATTATCCTCCTCTTCTTCAGAAGAAGAGTCATCCTTCAGCTTAGATGGAGGTGCCTTTTCAGTGACTTTCTTAGTCTAAAAAGAAAATTAAAGGGACAAGGTTAGTATAGACAGAACATTGTACACAATTTTAACTCAAGCTAGCTAAATTTGTCAAATTGCTCAAAACAAATTAAACAGCAAGATTGGAGTTATACCTTCTGCACTTCCTCAGAATCAGAAGAATCTGATGAGTCAGAACTGCTATCTACCTTCTTCGGTACCGTTTTCTCAGCTTTCTCCTTGAGAACAGCAGCACTCAACTCTTTCTTCTGTTTCTTCGGAACTTGGATGTTCAAATCCTGTTCCGCATCTCTCTTACCTAGCAAACAAAATTCAAAATAGAACATAGCTCTTGAGAAGGCATAAACAAGCAAACAAAAAAAGAACACTCTCGTTCAACACAATACAACACACGCTTTCAGTTAACAAGTAATCCCCAAACCATCCAAGCAGAAAGAACACGAAAACTAATGAGCTACCATCAAGCATCCAAGTAAAATTGGGAAAATAAACAAATTTAAGATAAGGAGTTAACAAGACAAATTTTTTAAAAGTGCATGTATTGTGAGCTGGGATTAAAGAGTTCCAATATCAAAAGAAATTCCTAGATCAGAATCATAGAACTGAATCGTCAAAAAAAATCGTACCTTTCTTGAGTGGCTTTGTCATTGAAGCAGGTGGTGCGGCTTCAACCTGAGAAATCAACATATAAAAAAACAGAGTTTTTAAATTATCTAACACACACGAAACAGAGTAAGAAGAAGAAGTAGAAGGAGAAAGCTGACTACTTTGGTGTCGGATTTCTTGCTAGACTTGCTCATGGTTCCGATAAGAAGCGAGAGAGACTGCTATAGCTAGGTTTTACGAGAATCTTTAGGGCTTTAACCTTTTTTTACAGGGGATTTGTAATTTATAGATCCTTTTTGGTTCTGATTTTGGGAAATCGAAGAGTCGGTCTTTGTATTATTATCTTTTTTCCTTTTTTCTAAAAATTCCTTATACATGGAAACTTAATCTCAACCGTACATCTCACAGACGTTTTACCATTAATTGTGGTTGGGTTTAAGACACTTGATTCCCAAGTTTGATCAATTTAACATTCGTACAAGTGTGAAGGACCAAAACTTTATACGTTTGGTTTATTTTGGTTCTTCGTGCACGAGGTTAATAAAATATCATTATAGAAAGAAGGGACCAACCTCCAAAAGATCGCCCTTTCCGCCTCAACCTCCAAAAGAAGTCGCAGTCTGGAAAAGCAACGGACATTTCCTCCCGTCCCGATTCATCATCGCCTTCTCCCCCCGGCATTGGAAGCTCGGCTAAGAAATCCCTGAATTTCACAATTCAGGCGTCCATACCCGTTGACCTTCAACCCCACCTATCGCTTGCTAATCTCTCTCTGAACAACCAAATCTCTTCTCCCCCTCGTAGGAAAAGTTGGTATGAACTGACGCTTGAAGAGGAGGAGGAGAACGCCAGAGAAAATTCGCTGCCCTTGAATCCTCCTTTGATTGATTCTAATGGTTTTCCGGTCCCTGGAGATCTTACGGTCCCATCCGCTAATCCCAAGCCGTGATAAATTCTCCTCTGCATGTGCCTGAGACGTGTCCAGAGGGCGAAAAGACTGGTGGAACTCACATCCCGATTGATTCAGTTTGGGATGATGCTCTGGATTTCGGTCGGATGGATCCACAGTTGGACTGTCTTGACTTGGGTGATGATGATTTTGGTTCCATGGACGAAAGCATGCTCGAGAATGACGATCTGTTGGGAGATGATCTTAAAGCGGAACTCCAGAATCAAGAGGCTCTGGCGAAGCATCAGGGTCTCGCAGATCCAGCCCCGGTGATAGCAATCGAGAAGGTGAAGCTTCGGAGCAAGATCGTTCTCTCCACCCCTCCTTCGCGAGAAGATGATGCCCCTGTTTCGGTGGTTTCTCCATCTCGGGCCCGGCCCACCAAGAAGCAATCTACTTCTATTGATGGACTTTCTAAAAGGACCTTAAAAAGCCCTGCTTTGAAAGTCAGCTCGGCTTCACGAAAGATCCAAATGGTCAAGGGTGGAACTCCACGTAAACGACACCACTCTAAATCCGGTACTCCGAGACCGAGATCTTCCAAGAAGAATTCTTCTACGATCAAACATGACAACGTCCCATCCTCATCCTCCCAAATCCCGGATTCCCACATTGGTGATAAAGGGCCTTTCGTTGGCCCGTGTGATGTCCCATGAAGATTTTATCTTGGAATTGTCAAGGGGCGGGTGCGAAACTTACAAAACGCCGACTGGAAGAACTTTGTCGTAAATTCTCTCCAGGTTTTCTTTTTCTTTCGGAAACAAAAAACGATCGATTGTTCTTAGAAGATTTACAGTTTAAATTAGGCTTTGATTATCTCCACACTGTAGACCCTTCCGGCTATAGTGGGGGACTTGTTTTAATGTATTCCCGTGATTATCCGGTTCAGTTCTTGTATGTCAGCAACCGTGTACTAGATATTGAAACCATTATTGATGGAAATCGGGTTTTCTTATCCTTTGTGTACAGTGATCCGGTTGTAAAAAACCGAGAAGAGGTCTGGGAAAGATTGACCCGCATTGGTATCTCTCGGTCTGAACCATGGTTTATGATCGGAGATTTTAATGAAATAATTGGGAATCATGAAAAAATAGGAGGGAAAAAACGATATGAATCCTCCTTCCTCCCCTTTCGGGCAATGATTAATAATTGTGGCATGCTCGAATTTCCTTTCCAAGGGAATTCTCTATCTTGGGCTGGGCGCAGAAAATGTGGTCATATCCGGTCCCGCCTAGACAGGGCCCTCGGAAACGAAGAATGGCATAATATATTTTCCCACACAAATGTGGAGTACCTTAAGATGTGGGCATCTGACCATAGGCCTCTTTTGGCCACTATCAGTAATAAACCTCAAAAATTTATTAAGAGGTTTATGTTTGATAAACGCTGGATTGGCAAACCAGGGTTTAAAGAGGCGGTTAAAAAAGGTTGGTCCTTCCCTAGGCAATGCATAGGAGGCTTTTTCCCACGTAAAATCAGGAATTGTAGAAACTCGATTTCAAAGTGGAGAAAATCAAATGTTACAAATTCTCAAAAGCTCATCATATCCCTCCAATCTCAGATAGATGAGGCAAATGAGAATGAAAACATTTCCCCCGAAGCCCTTCTGGCTCTGAAATGGAAACTTTGTGATGCGTACCGTGAGGAAGAATTATACTGGAAATTAAAAAGCAGAGAATCGTGGCTACAGGCTGGAGATAAGAATACTAAATTCTTTCATGCAATAACCAAACAACGACGAGCCAGGAATAGAATCACGGGCCTACTTAATAAGGATAATCAATGGATTGCCAAGGAAGAGGATATCGAAGAGGTAGCGGTGGAGTATTTCTCTGATCTTTTCTCGTCTTCCAACCCTCGCGATGTTCATGCCGCCGTCCAGGATGTACCTGTGAGTATTACCGATGATATGAAACGAAAGCTCCTGGAGACAATCTCTCCAGAGGAAATTAGGAAAGCTCTCTTTTCTCTTAACCCAGAAAAGACGCCTGGGCCCGACGGATTGATTGCGCTATTTTACCAAAAATTTTGGGACATTGTTGGTGGCGACCTGATAAAGTCATAAAACTTGTCCAAGATTTTTTCTCCTCGAAATCCTTTGACAAGTCCTTGAATGCGACAAACAGTTGTCTCATCCCCAAGACGGAGCGCCCACGTTCGATGACTGAATTTCGCCCAATTAGCTTATGTAATGTAAGTTACAAAGTCATTTCCAAGGTTCTTAGCATGCGGCTTAAGAAACTACTTCCGGATCTTATATCCGAGACTCAATCGGCCTTTGTGTCAGGACGAATTATCACTGCTAATATTCTGATTGCTCAGGAAAATTTCCATGCATTACGTACAAATTCGTCCTGTCGGAAGCATTTTATGGCTATTAAGACAGACATGAGTAAGGCGTATGACGGGTGGAATGGTCCTTCCTTGAGGCCTTGATGGCCAAAATGGGGTTTACTCCTAAATGGATTAACCTGATTATCTTCTGTATAAAATCCGTTTCGTACAAATCTCATTAATGGTTCGCCAAGAGGCCACATTCAACCTTCTAGAGGCATTCGACAAGGCGACCCGATTTTGCCCTTTCTATTCATTCTATGCACGGAAGCTTTAGTTGCTCAACTAACTGAAGCGGAATGGACTGGACGAATTCAAGGGCTACAAGTAGCGCGGGCAAGTCCGTCAACTTCCCATCTCCTTTTTGCGGATGATAGCTTGTTCTTCTGCCGGGCAACTCCAGATCAAGGCCAAGCAATTTTGGAGATTATCCGCTGTTATGGCGAGGCCTCTGGGCAAAAACTAAATGAGGCAAAATCTTCAATTATGTTCGGACATGAAATTGACTCTCTTACTCGAAATACTATCAAGAAGACTCTTAATATTCAACTGGAGGGTGGGATGGGTACCTATCTTGGGTTACCGGAGAAGATACATGGCTCAAAGACCCAAGTCTTTTCCTTTGTTCAAGATCGCCTCCAGAGCCGTATCAATACTTGGTCGATAAAGTTCTTGTCCAAAGGGGGCAAAGAGGTATTAATCAAATCAGTTGCTCAAGCCCTTCCGACATATGTAATGTCGTGCTTCCTACTGCCCAAGGCTATTCAAACAAAGCTCAGTAGTGCCATCTCCAATTTTTGGTGGAGAACCAAAGAGGATAGTAAAGGCCTCCACTGGTTAGCTTGGGAGAAACTTTGTACCCAATTTTCAGAAGGTGGTCTAGGATTTCGAACCCTGGAGGAATTTAATCTAGCTCTACTAGCTAAGAAAATGTGGAGACTCTTAAGGTTTCCAAACTCCCTATTAAGTAGAGTAATGCGGGGCCGATATTACCGTTTCAGTGATCCCCTCGAAATTGTGAAGGTTAATCGTCCCTCCTATGGTTGGAGAAGCCTTTTTGCTGCCAAACCACTTCTAGTCTCTGGTCTGAGGAAAACTATTGGGTCCGGGATGATTACCCGGGTCTGGAAGGACCCCTGGATTCCAATAATCCCTCCTCGACCGGCTAAGAGTACTCTTGACACTCGAGACCCGCATCTCTATGTCAACGATCTACTGATACGAGATACACAAAACTGGAATTTACCCCGCCTGCGGGAATTGGTGGCTCCGGAGGATATTCCGCTTATTTTGGGAATTAGGCCTAGCCGAACCTACCTGAGTGATAACTATAGTTGGGTTCATACCAAGTCAGGGAACTATACTGTCAAATCAGGATATTGGGCTGCTAAAGCCCTAAGTCAACCATCTTGTGACCTCCCTTCTCAGGGACCAAGTGTTACGGCATTTCAGGCACAAGTTTGGAAAATCAAAACCACACGGAAGATTAAACACTTCCTTTGGCAATGTTTATCAGGTTGTTTGGCCACTTGCCAACGCCTGCACTACCGTCATATTGGAAGGGACAAAGGCTGCCCCCAATGTGGCGTTGAAGAAGAAACGAGTAACCATTTTCTTTTTGAATGCCCCCCGGCTCGTCAGGCTTGGGCCCTCTCTCCCATCCCGACCTCTGGGAATCACTTCCCAAATTCTTCTCTATTCTCTAATTTTGACTTCCTTTTCTGGAGAGGTCAAGAGAAGGGTATAGATGTCACAACATTACAAGCCTTCCCATGGATCCTATGGTTCATTTGGAAGGCCCGTAATCGTTTTGTTTTTGAGAATCTCCGGGTTCCACCGGATGAAACTATTTGCCTCGCCTTGCAAGAGGAGGATGTCTGGCGAAAGGCTACTGCAAAAGTCTTGGATCCAGACTCGTCCCTAGTTGGCCACGCTAACCCTCCAATGATCATTCCTGCTGAATTGGAATGTCATTGTGATGCCTCCTGGACCCCTTCTGATCCTCTGAGTGGAATGGGGAGGGTGCTGACTGATGCTCTCTCCGTCAAGCATTTAGGCCTAAGAAGTATTCGACGGAGATTATCCCCCCTCCACGCCGAGTTTGACGCCCTTCTCTGGGCTATGGATTGTATGATTAAAATAGACCAAACTTCTGTAAGCTTCGCCTCAGATTGCTCTGACCTTATTGCTTTAGTAGAAAACCCCAAGGATTGGCCAACTTTTGCTGCAGAAGTCGCCTCTTTCAAGTCTCTTCAAGTTAGTTTTCCGACTTTCCGCCTTCGTTTTCTCCCTCGTCTTTCCAACCTCCGGGCTGACCTCCTCGCTAAGAAAGCTCGTGCCCGAAACTGCATCTTCTCCCATATGAGCACTTCGACCCCCAGTTGGCTCTCCCTAGCGGAGAATATCTTCCCGATAGTGTCATAGATCTTTTGTTTATTTTGTCGAAAAAAAAAAAAAAAAAAAGAAGGGACCAAAAAATAAGAATTAAAATATAATGGGGAGAGATATGTAAATTAATAAGAATTAATCTCATTTCTCGCCGCTGTGTTCAAGCTTTCTTCTTCTTCTTCTTCCCAGCTTCCGATCAAAATTTTCCGGTGTTTACTTTGTCGCAATCTACGTCGACCAACGGTGGATTGATCAATATAGAGTGGTACAAGGAAAAGGCCTTTTTGAATTTCTCAATTTCTTCTAGATGCGTATCTATCTGTGAATGTTAAAGAAGGTCAACCCTAAAATACTGGGGAAGAATATATCGGATGCCTTGATTCGTGGTCAAGCAATTGAGGATTAGTCAGATCTTTGTGAAAAGGCTGTAGCTTTGAGGGAGCTGATAGTTCTGGTCGTCGCCCAAGATTAGAGGTTTCGAATATTCTGACGGATGATTCAGCTAAACTTGCTTCATCGATTAGCTCTATTAATTGCAACTTTTCTGATTAGCAGATGATTGATTGGGTGTCTTCTGCCATTGAAATTGATACGCATTTTGGTTTAGGATATGTTGCTTATTCAAAGCTAGAGCGAAACTTGTTTTGGGTTGATTATTTTGATATTAATCAAGAAGAGCTTTTTGGGTTTTTTTTGACTTCGTGATTGTTGAACTCTCATCAATCATCTGTCTGAAGAAACCTTGTTTTCTTGTATCCCGGATATGGAAGAGTCTTCCCAGGTTAGTGGATCCTTGTCTCTTTAACTTATCTTCAATCGCATAGGCTTTAAAGATTTCATTTTATGATGCCTGAGTATAATCTTTGAATTTTGGCAAGTTTCCACATATGGTCCATGCTTTTTAGCTGGTATGCTTACAGTGTGGGTTTTGGAAAAGCTTACGAATGTCAAAATAGGGACTTGTCAACTAGTTTGCAGATTATGTGGTTGAAAAAAGAATGAATGTTTTTTTATCAAATATGTTATGCAATTCCTTTTTTACTGGATCTTTCTCTTTTCATAATACTTTCTTAATGATTGGGAAAGAAAGGGAATGTGCTAACTTCTCAATCATCGGTATCTGATATAGAAATGTTTAGATGGCATAATACTGTCTAAGAAATCATGAAGCTGGATTGTGTAAGTGTTAGTATCAGTGCTTATGCATTGAGGCCATCCGGTAGTAGAGTGACCCTTGCATAGTGAGACTGTTCTCTTGCAGCATAGGTTTGAAAGAGAGAACTGTGAATATCCGTAGGCTTTAACAAATATTACTGTTTGCTTCTTTCTCTAGGGGAGTTTTGTTACAACCATAAATGAGGATTTTGAAGCAGTTTGTTGGGGATGTGGGCTAAACCTTGTTCTTCCATCATATGCACCTATTTTCAAGTGTGGATGGTGTGGTGCAATCACGAATCAGAATCCAGTTAGACCTGAAACCAAAAGCTTTGGGTTGAGACGTTTCCGTGACCGGTGTTTTGTTGTTATTCTGGCAGTTTTTATGCTCTTTGTGATATGTAAGTCTCTCTAAATACGAATTAACATTATTTAAAAAAATTATACTTTCCCGTTTCTGTGTTAAATACTCTTTTAGAAAAATACTTCAGGTGGTGGGATTTGGGCTGCGTATCCTGTCTTGTTTTCGATCAGCTTGGCTTGCGGAATTTTCCATTCTGTTACAACAGCGTCTCTGGCGATATCAACGCTCTCAACATTTATTCTTGTTGCTTTTAAATGCGCCGGGAAACCACCAAATATTCTTTATGGAACCCACCCTGGAGTGGGGAATGGCGCACTTAACAACTATACCTTTTGTAACCACTGCTCCAAACCCAAGTCACCTAGAACCCATCACTGCCGCACGTGTGGCATGTGTGTCTTGGACATGGATCACCACTGCCCTTTTGTAAGTCTCATGGCTTATTCATGTTTCTCTTTAGTTATTACATATATTATTTTCTCATAAAGGGCTGAATAAAGAGTGGGTTTTTGAGTGTACGTTGTGTGGTGATGCACTAAGGATGATTACTTTTCATATTAAGCGTTTTCATAAACCGCATAGACTTGTACCAAATTTATAATTCCATTTCATACGACCTTCTAAGCTTACCCAGTCATGTAGACTTATTTTCAATACCTTAAAGCTCATTGTTCTTATTTACTGGTTAAGGACTCTCCTTGTGTTGTATTTGCAGATTGGGAACTGTGTTGGTGCCGGGAATCACAAACAATTCATAGCATTTCTTATCTCAGCCGTCATTAGCACAATCTATGCTGCTGTTATGTGTGTGTATTCCGTGATTCATATCTTGCCACCTATGGAAAATGGAGCTGCCTATGCATCTGATATGGCCCATGTGGCTCATGGTAATAGTTTATCGATTCTGAGAGCAGTGAAGAATATATCTCTTGCTTACATAGCCAACGCTGTCTTCATCTCTGCCCGGGGCCTTGTTCTAGTATATCTCTTTGTGGCAAGTGTTTCTGTGGCGATTGGGCTAAGTGTTTTGTTGTGGCAACAGCTTAGCTATATCTATGAAGGCAAGACTTACTTAAGCCATTTAAGTTCTCAAGGAACAGAAGAAGATGGTGAAAAGAGCTGCCGGAATCTTTTGTCATTTTTTGGGTGTCCACATTCAATTGATTGGCACTTGCCAACCATAAGGAACTTGAGGAAGAGACATAAGACATAAAAGAAGAAGAAGAAGAAGAAGGGAATGTGAGCCGAATATGTTCTTTATGTTTCCTCCCTATGTTTGGAGCTTGTTTTGGTCAATTCAGAAGCATTCATCATACTTGGAGCTAACAGGTAATGCAGATTAGCAAAGTGTGTACCTCATTTGTGAAATTCATGATCATAGAGTCTAGGAGCAGTTGCTTCTGTAAATTTTGTTCCAAGATTGTAAATTTGTTGTTTCCCAGGCATGCCTTTGAACTTGAGAATAACATTATCAATTCAAAGGGGTTACATAGAAATATCCTTGTAGCACTCACCAATGACTTACATCGTCGATAATAGAAGTTACAACTTCTTGCGTTCCATAGATAACATAAATCCTTCTTTAAAACTACATAATGAAGACACGATTTGCTACTACTGAGCCATACTAAGATACAGTTACTTCAACAGCCTATGATAGGGTTCTGTGATAACATAATTCACAAAGAAAAGGAATTAGAACTGTTCAGAACTTGAACCTTTCTTCACCAAAAAGTACTGCAAAAAAATGCTAGGCTTCCCGAGAAAGTTACACCACTTCTTGGCTTTAAGACTACGTTAAGTTAAAGTTGCCACTCAATGGGAGGAATCTCCATTTGCTCGAATAGCTGGTTTGCGCGAGAGAAATGCCTGTCCAAGAGGTATAACATTAATGTTAAATTCAGCAGTTGGGACAACATAAGTACGACATGCAGATAATTGCAGGTCATGTCATATCTTGCAGACTCACGGAAACAGTGGTTGACATTATGCAAATGCATAGGCAGGTCAGAAAAAAAAGTGTACTGGACTTGAGCTAACCTGCAGTTGAAGAAGCCTCTATTCGCCGACAAACCAGATGGATGAGCTGCTGTGAGTATATGATGTTTAGTCGCATCTATCAACCTGTATTCATACAAGTTAAAAACAATGAAGATGCATAGGCTGCAATATCTACAAGTCTAACCGTTTCTACTGTGTTAGAAGTCAAAATGAGATCAGATAATAATCTCCATCAGCTGTATAACATTCATAAAACCAAACCTACTTGGATTTCTCTTGAGCGTATCTTCCCCAGAGAAGAAAAACAACACCTTCCTTCTGCTGTGAGATGCTTTGAATAACAGCATCAGTGAATTGTTCCCATCCTTTCTTTGCATGTGAATTAGGCTGTTTACTCCTTACTGAATTAGAAGCCAAGGTAACCGACATATTTTTGGGAGAAGAATTACAGGATTTGAACAGTTTTAAACTCATAAGATTGTCAAGCCATAGGAGATATACCTGTAAGAACAGCATTCAGCAGCAACACACCCTAAAAAGAAATTAAAAAGTGAATTGTTTAATCTTCTCAAAGTAAACTGAGAATCATGGCACAACTAAGTAGAGAGAGATCATAAAGCAACTCAATTTTACCTGCACAGCCCATTTCTGTAGATTGCCATGACGTGGGATGGAACAGCCAACATCTTTCTGAAGCTCCTTGAATATGTTCAACAGACTAGAAGGAAGCTTTTCTCCTTCAGGCACAGAGAAGGACAAACCCATAGCTTGACCTGGTCCGTGGTAAGGATCCTAATCAAACAGAGTAAAAAACTTGTTAAATCATAAACAGAATACTCGAACCAATCAATGCTCATTTCAAATACTGTACCTGTCCAATAATAACAGCCTTGACTCGATCAAAGGGAGTTGTATTAAGGGCATTGAAAATCAAATGCTGCGGTGGATAAATCGGAGGGCTTTTACCGTCGGTGGTGGTCTCACGTTCAAGGAAATCAGAAAGGGTTTTGGCGTAGGGTTTATGCAATTCTCCAGGAAGAGCTTTAAGCCATGATTCTTCCACTAAAAGCTCACTCAACGGCACATAGCATCTTCCTTCAGCTGCGATTGCCATCCCAAAATCAATTCAGATTCGTATAACCTTAAAGGGGACTGTAATGTTCAACAAATTTAAAGAAGATAGAAAACAAATAAACAAAAAAACAACCTTTCGCTTTAGTGACCTTCTCGGAGCAGACGGCGAGGTTACGCTTGGACTTGGCCACGAACTTGTTGAACTCGGCGCGAGCGACCTGTTCAGGTGTAAGGCCAGATGCGTCATCGGCGGAACTGGCAACGGTTAAGCGAGGCGGCGAGCTTGCTTCAGAACCCAAATCGCGGGATCCTCCGGCGACAGAGACGGTGGAGAAAGAAGAAGAAGAAGAAGAAGGGGAAGCTTTGAGGCGTTTGCTGGCAGGTTGAAAAAAGTCCATTAGGGTTTTAGGTGCGGACGAAGCCATCTCCGTTTCAGAAGTGTTTTTATGTCACTATCACTATGGAGAAGAAGAGATCCCAATATTTTATTCTTTCACCAAATTCCCCATTTTGTTTTAATTATTTCCCAGAAAATTTTACAGGGAAGAGAGGAGAAGAGTTTAATGGCGGGAAAAACGGTGGTACAGGCCGGTTAAGGCAACTCTTCAAGCCGGTTTGAACCGGTTATAACACCAAGCGCACATCAGTGGTGTACTCCAGTCTAGTTTCTACAGTATTCCCTTTTAAAAACAACTCCAATTTTAATTTGATAAGTTATATTCCAGGAACGAGTTTAGTAGCTCTGTAACTTCTGTTGAGAAGAACACAAACAAAAGGGTTCAAAGAAAAATTCAAAGAGATGAAGGTTCTAAAATTGGTCTATCAGGCTGTAGTAAAAAAATGAAAAATTTGGGACAAAATCTCTAGGTATGTACACCACTGACATTAATGGGGACAACAAAGCCTCACCAGATCTTTTCATCTTCCTCTAAAGATTAAGCAGGTAAGAATAAAGTTGACAACATTATCCAATGGTGGAAAGAATGGAACTGTATTAAGATAATATGGGAATCCTATTCAGTTTTTAGGTCTTCTTGATTTTGCTGATATATGCCTGTAGTTGAAAACAAACACACAAAACAATGGTTAACAACATTATGTTGCAGCTGATTAAGTTTTAGAAAGCATAAGGTAAGGGTTATATATGAAGGAACCTGCACGAGCTTGGTAAGTTTTGGTTTTGAAGCAGATAGATAATGGTCAATATTTTCCTGTGTTTGAGGAACGCTTCCACTTTGCATTGTAACAGTCACTTTCTCAACTACCTTCTTCACTATGTTTTTGTAACCATCTTTGTCCATCTTACCTTCTTTCCAGGTTGGATTTAGAAGCTCCTTTACAACCTCAACAAGCGCAAACTTAAACGCTCGCATTTCTTTCGGATCTATCCCTTTCTTGTTTTCTTTGTCACTTCCTACATCATCTTCATCTTCATCTACAATATTCTCAGCATCATTGGTGTCTTCTCCAGTTTTCTTACCCTCTTCTTCTTTGCTAGATTCATGAGTCTTTTTGTTTCGGTTTTCCTCACAACCCTTGGGATTTAGCGTAAGATCCTGAATCCCACTGACATTGTTTACCTGCGATGCAGTAACCACTGGGACTCCTCCAGCGCCAATGTTCATCCCTAGTCCACATAGCTGATTCGGATTACTACTCATTACATTACTTTGACTATGCACCGTAGTAGTAGCCTGATTTGGTTGAATATCCATGGAAGATTCTGAATGCAGAGGCATCTGCAATGCCTTCACAAGCTCTGGAATGGGCTCCCCATTTGCAAGAAACTGCGCTATAGTTGCTGAAATGCTGGTGATCTTATCAAGTTGTTCCTTACTCACGGTATTTTGGACCAAAACAGGTCTCTCCACCGTTGATTGATGATTGTTTTGATATACTTTTCCACTCTCAACATTGCTCAAGTTCGAGCCTACTGAGAGATCTGCAGCAGCAGTAGCTAGCACTTGTTGACTCCCTCCAGCAGTTAGTGAGCTTTGGTACGGCAATACATTATGGTTCTGACTGAAAGCTTGAACTGGAGTGACGTTCACTGGGTGACTATAACTCTGATGTGAAGCAGCTATAGGTTTCTCAACCATAGTTTTGCCACCATGTGAAAACATACCACTACTCTGCTCATTATGACTCACCAAACCACCTTTAAGAACTTGAGACTGTGAACTCTGACCAATAATGCCAACACTATGCTCTTCCTTCACAGGGTTCTTTAAAGATTGAACTCCATAATTCCAATCAGGAGACATCTCCATGTCATCAATCCAGCTACTACTGTTCCTGTTAGGTTCAGAAACTCCCTTACTGGCACGAGATACTTCTATCCCACCTAATCTTCCATTATCCAATCTTTCAACATCATTCCATTTATTATGATTGTTACTGTCCTGTCTATAGAAATGTTTATCTTGAGGCTGCTTTCTACCAGCACCATGATGAGAAAACCTGCAATAGTTTCCATTACGACAGAATCCTGCAGCCAAAAACTTGCACGGGATATTGGAAGTCCTGTGGAATTGTCCTTCACCATCACCATTCCTCCTTTGAGTGTCTTTCACTCCGGTAAATTCGCTTCTGTGCCTTCTCAATCTTGGGTCTGAGAACCCATTATCATGTAGATGCTCCCTTCTCGAATTATCCTCGGGAAACTTGGTATTATAGACAGAAAACCTCGCACCTGTCATCATCGCCTCTCCTCTGAAATCATCGGTGTGATATTTCGTCTTTCTTGGCTTTCTAGTATCATCCTCCAAACCATGATCGTTGCTTTGATCAAAGTGATGACCACTGCCCCTCTTATTGAATTCCCTTATTGGTGTAGGAGAAACTAGAGTTCTGGTCTTGTGTTTACCTCTGTAGACTGGGCTTCTGCTACGGCTTCTACTCATGCTATTACTTCTACTTCCATTCCTAGAAAGAAAGAAAAAGGAAAAAGAAGTAAGAACCGAAGAAAATATAAATAAGAATCTCTTACCTTTTCACATAATTTATTACAACTCAAAACACTAACCTAGGGAAAATTTGTTGCCTAGTATCATCTCGTTCAGAATCATAGCTATTATCATTGCTCTGTGAAACTATGCTTCTACTCCTAGCTTCGCCCGGATGCTGGTTGGTCTCAGCACCAGACCTCCTAGAACCATTACTCTCTGAATTGAAGCGGACAGGCTCAGACTCTTTGTCGCGGTAATAAGCACCTGAGCTTGCAGTTAAGCTAGAATGATGATGGTGTGAGTCTTCCTTAGAGTCCCAATTTGAAACATGTGTTCTTCCCAAACCACTCATCTTCCAACCCCTAAGGCTTTCAGCCTTTCACAAACTAGTAAGCACCAAACATCAAAATGAGAATCTGCAGAGAAGAAGAAGTTTAAAGAGTAAAGATTAGCAAAGAAGACAAGAAAAACTGTAATAGCTTAGATTTAAACCTTTTTTGAAGTATAAACATTTGCATAATTTTAATGTTAAATCAATCAAGCTGCTTGAAAGCACCATCCAATTTCTTTGTCACATTACATAATCCACAAAATTTGAATATGGTACCTTTACTCGTAAATTCTCACAGAACCTAAATTGAGCAAAAAAAAAAATAATAGACCAGACAAAATTGAACCTATAATTGGAGCTTTAATAGACAAAATCTATTCGAGGAATAACCCTAAAATCAAAATCAGACAAGACAAGAAACAGTACTCACTTGGATTCGAAAAAGGCTCTTTTATCACCAACAAAAAGAGAGTCAAACAAATCCTAACACCAAGCTTCTTCTTCTCCCGTTGAAAAAATCGTCTAGTAAGAAGTAAGTGAAGCTTCTTCTTTGCACCTGGGATTCTCCGGAGAAAGTTATAAAAGACTTGCTACCCTCGAACGTAGAAGAAGAACGACAACGAGTTCTTTTTGACTCTGGTTCTTCGAATTGACCAAACTCTCTCTGTGTTCTATGTTTTTTTATTTTTCTTCTTTTGGTAAAAAATCTACAAATTCTTTTTTAGAGTAATCTTGAGTTCTAATCCCACCGTTGATTTGTATCCCCTTAATCGCACCCGTTGATTATTTACCCAGTCATCTCTTTTCTATTTTTTCCATTTTTCACCTCATTTATATATTTCTTTCCTTTTTTTTGAACGCAATAGAGTAATTTCTTAATTGTCTTTTTGACCCTTATTAAACACACAAAAGCTTGCCCTTATTAAGGTATTTTAACAAACAAAATTCTCAGACATAAATCTCAGAATAGCTGAAAAAAGAGTTAGTATAGGATCATTCTCATGGAGACATTAATAAGTCACTAATGACATCTTCTTCAGTCATATTACACTTAGCTTTAAAAACCAGACATAATCCAAAAGACAGAGATTAATAATGTCTCAAACTGATAACTGCACTAACCAAAATATATATATGCTTCTTAGTTATATAAAAGATATTAACCCCCAAAAAAAACGAATATGAAGTTATAGGAGAGGTTGTGGGAGATCATAGAGAGGCCTAAAATTGTTTCCAGGTTGATCCCAATTGAATGCCCCTTGCTGCTGTTGTGTTTGAAACTGACCAAACTGATGCGAAAGGCCATTAGCGTTAACGCTGTTGTTGTTGTTGTAGTCGTGCATGCTCATGTTCAGCTCGTTAGTCACGATTCCTTGCGTCCCAAGTAGGCCTGAATAGTCTCCTGTATTGACGTTGTTGTGGTTGTACATGTTAGTGTCCTCTAACTCATCGATTCCAGCCCCAAGTAAGCTCGAGTAGCTTTCCACTTTGGAATTCTGGTCAATCTGTTTTGAGAAACCATCGAAGCTGTTGATGTTGTTGTATGCTAACATGTTCATGTTCATGTTCTGAAACCCGCTGATCCCAGTTCCTTGTACCCCAAGTGACCCCGAGTAATTTCCCACATCCAAATTCGGGTAAATCATCAGTTCAGGTGGAACCGGAGCCAGAGATTGCCCTTGGTTCAAAGCTGATGCAGAGACTGGGATTTGCGAGATATTACCGTTCCCATGGTTAAACAGAAACATGGAAACTTGGTTTGGTTGTTGTTGAAGATATTGATTCATCGTACTAGGCAGCATCGGTCCTTGATTAGCCATGCTCAAGTACTGGATCTTCCTTTGTCCCTGACCTTCAACAACAGCGCGAACCCTATGTTGGATCCTGGTTAGGTTACGTTCCAAGGACTGAATCAGCCCCGTGAGTTGCTCCACGGAGTAGTTATCAAACCTAGGGTCCCAAACCGGATACTTGACTTTGGGAACACGTCTCACTTTCTTCTTCTTCGTCTTCTTCTTTGAATCATCGTTATTGATCTTCTCGAGAAACTCGTGAAGATCAACGCTTCCTTTGCGTCGTTTCGTCTCGCTTAATGCAGCGTACCTTTGAGCGATGGCTTTGACCTTCTCCCTCTCTTTTGGCCATGTCTTAAGCTCTCCGTCCGCTCCGTAACAGATGACGCAAACTTCGATTCCACAGAGAACAGAAAGCTCGCCAGCTTTCTTAAAGACGGTCTCTTGTCTTTTCTTTAAGCTTGTAGCTTTCGAAGAAGAAGAAGAAGAAGAAGCATAGCTAGGTTTTTTGAAAAGGGTTTGTTGAATTTGGGGAATGCTCATCGTTGTTTTCTTCTTCGCCGATGAAGAATACGAAGGGGAACAGGATGAAAAAGAAACCATGGTTTTGTTATCTCTGTGTACTCTTTGTGAATTCAATGAAGAGGTTTTGAGGTGTTGAACCAATGTTTGCGGATATATAAAACTCTCTTAGTTCAAGAATTTCTATTTTTGGTGCTCTCTCTTGCGCTATCGGTAATTAATGACGAATCAACAATGATAGCTATAAAGATTTCATTTCCTTTTTTCGATATCCTTTTTTCACATTGAATCAAGTTTTATGGTAAACAATGGTGTAACTTTACTTATTACGAAAATTTTGTTTTCTGGTTAAATATTAAGGATATCACTAGTAAAGATTCTTTTTCAAATACGTATGTATATACGTAGACACACGCACATAATTTGTTTACACATATGTAAGCATGCGACACAATGATCCGACAGACTTTGGAATTTTAGAAAGTAGATGTTGCACTTATAATTAAGTACTTACAACGATTAATTTGTGTTATTCAGCTAATAAGTCTATAATCTAACATTTTTTTGTAAAAATCATTTGAATTTAAGTATCACATAACATTTTTGACCAAAGAAAACAGTATTTCCTAACATTATTGAATCTATGTATGTATTTAAAAACGGCATGTAAATAGACATATAAATAGACGACTTGTGTTCCATTTTAAGCTAAACTTCAAATTAAAAAAATATTTTATTCCAATTGAACAAACTATATATATAGGGAAAAAAATAGTTACACAATTGATATTTACCTAATCTCGCAGCAACATTTAAAACAAAAATAAAAATTCATGAAACCCATCAATATGTGTGTGTATAATAATTGCGTCACAAGTTATGGCCGGGAAGGGAGGACGATCTCCGGACGGCGGTAATGGCCGGAGGGGTGGGAACAAAGGACTCGTAGTCAGTCCAATTTGATTCACCCCAATGCCGCAACATACTTTTCCAATTACACAATTTATCGATGCAAATCTTGAATCTTGGATCTTTTACTCTTAGCTTCCAGTGACCGTCAACATACTTGGCAGCCTCGGCTTGTCTACGATCATATTCCAACTGTGCCTTTTGCTTGGATCTCAAATAACAGAATTGGTGAAGTTCCTACAAAATATCATTTTTAAAAAAAAATTACCAAAACCATCACAATTTTAGTATCAACTAAATCGTCTGTTCTTTTCAATATTGTGCCGACTATTTTTATTTATTTTTTTAAAAAGAAATCAACCTTAAAATGTTTTTCTTTTAGAATAATATAAAAAGAAAATAAAGATTAGGGCTTTAGGCTGAAAAACAAGCAAAGTGTGCAAACCATAGCTTGGTGCCTACGTACCTAACTTCCCAAATTTTAAGTTCGTCAAAATTTTCGTATATTTGGTGATAAATGGTTAATCTAAACTTGGACAGTAAGTTCTTTTAAATTTATTTATCTAGTTAACATGTTTTGGTTATGACTAACGCATAATAATATATTGATCATAGTTAATAACATTAGAGAAGTATGTGATTTTGAGTTCAATGAGGGGTTTAGGAGAAAGTGTAATACCTGTGGCATGGCGTCGTGGACCATCCACCATTTCCGGTGAGCGATATCAGTAGCAAACTCGACAAATATGTCGGAATTGAAGTTACAGTCGTAATCACGGTAACATAACCACGGCTTCATTCCAAGGTAATGAAGAACATAAAGAATAGGAGGCTCTGCTCCAAAAAGCTCTGTTTTCTTACGCTTCACATCATCTTCATCACCAACCCAAAAATGCTTCAAGAAATTCATATGTTTCGGAATCCGATGCCACCATGTGAATACCTCGTTTAAGTAACCTTGGTCTCCACCGTTGTAAGACTCTATCTCGTTTATATGCTCCATAAGAAGCTGAAACGTACAGTTGCATGGCTCGATCACCATAACTCCTGAATTAAACAGGGTTCCATTGTTGCCTGTAGCTGAGATCTCAGGCATCGAGAACAAGAAATCGATGTTTCTCAAGATTAATAGATCCGCGTCGATAAAGATGATTTTGTCGTAATCAGTCAGCTGCCATAGCCGGAACTTGCTGTAGTTCCACTCGTTGTAAGCATCTTTCTCTGCTTTAGGGTTTCTAATCCTCTGTATTGTCCGGATTTGCCATCCCGCGGCTTCTAATCCACTGCGGTGATAACCGCTGATGTTGTCATCGACGAGGATAACAAGGTCTCTCGTCGAGCCAGACTGCCTTATGCTCTGAGCTGCCGCGATAGCACCACAGACGTAAACGTGAGCAGAGTGAAGAATTGTCGCGTAAGCTTCTCTTTTAGGGTTTCCTAAGCTTGGTCTCTCTGTAAAAATCATTAACGTAAACAAAATTCTTGTTAACTTAGTGTTGATTTTCAAATCTAAACTAGTAATTTCGGGATTCATTTTTTTACCTTTGATGCCGAGAGGAAGAGAGAGCTCACAAGAACCAATAGGAAGCTGAAGCTTGTCTCTCAAGATATCAAGGTTAGGTTTATACAACCAAACATCTCCTCTCCGAGAAACGAGATCCTTACACCGAAAAAGATTTGGAATCGGGAAGCATCTAGAGACAAACAACACGTGTCCCCTGAAAAACCCTTTCGCCGAAGCTGCCACTGTTGCAGCCGCGAGCTGGAGATGTAATCTCCCGACGTCTCTCGACCAATTCCCTTCCTTTCGACAAGGAAGCTTCACGACGATCAGATCGAGTCTTCTTGTAGGCACTTTGATATTCGGGAGATTAGGACAAACAGGCACCTCTGTTTCTTGCTCCTCATCGATCCACTCTGGATAGAGTGCGTCCCAAGTCACGTTCTTTTCTGCATAGTCTAGATTCAATAAGACAAGGTTTTCTTCATCCTCATTTTTCTTTCTCTTGGATACTTCTCTCCATCTTTGGATCTCGTTCGAATCAAAATTCAAGACACCGATGGTACGGCCTTCTTGGACGCTCTCAAGGGTTTTGGTCACATCGTCCCAGTTTATGTCCAGATCCGAGACGTAACGTGGATCTTGTATTCTCCATATCCATCTAATTTCAAAATGTTAACATAAATATTGTAAGAATGTAAATGTTGGCGACGGAAAAAAAAAAGAACGAAAAAGATTTACCGAGAAGAAGAATGTGAAAGAGAATGATGATAAGCTTCAGGAGAATAGATGATGGTGAAGAGCGTAGCAGAGAGAAGTATAAACAAGAGAATCTTCACGATCTGAAACTTGCTGCAACAACAACAACTAGTGTTTTTGTCTTGTGCCGGGAAACTTATGATACTAAAAGGTTTCACCATATCAGATCTACCACCGCCTTTGCTATTTCTCCGGAATCTCCTCTTGCATATTGCTTCTCTGCTCGAAACACACACCAAATTAGACAATCTTGTTCATAAGTTTTTGTTCAATCCTCATATGTTTTTGGCAAACTCGTAATCATTAAGAAGAGGGGATATGTTATGTAGGCTTACATGGAAGCGGATAGACGACGTCGGGAGTCACCGCCTGTAGCGGCTGCGGCTGTGGCTGCGGCTGCAGCAGCAGCGGGAGAGTTTGCCATATAAAACTGATGGATCGAGACAGTAGAATTGGACAAGGAAGAGGATGCAGCAAATATAGGTGAGACATAACGTCTCTTTTAATCTTCTTTTGTTTCTATTTTTGTTTTCGTAAGGAAATAAGAAAAAAACATGTATTTTGCACACCCACCTTTTTAATAATGTTTTTATTTTTTGTTTTTCACTTTCTAAGTTATCGTTATTTTTATTTAGTTTTTGTTTATCACATTGACATGATTTATTTTATTTATTGTGGATAATATTGAAGCACTTTAGTTTAAACTCCATCCTCAGTTTGTAACTTTCTTGTGATGGACATAAGTCCACCAAACTTTGATCATTTCTTTGTAAAGACAACCATAATTTATTTCAAATATGATAATTTTTATTTTAAAAATGAAGATATAATTTTCTAATCACTCACTTGATTAAAAACAGAATAAAATTCATGAAAGGTTTAGTCATTAGATTCATATATCATGTACAGCTGGAGATAAATAATGATGTACGCATGCATCAATGAATACCTATGATTAGTTAACAATTAAGCATATAATAATTAACTCAGTAGTATTGAAATCATTTTTCTTCTTGGTTGTTTTTTGGGTATTTTGGAACATAGCCAAACATGTTAACTATGACTTATTTTAATAACAAAGCAACCGTTACTATATAACAAATTGAAAATTGATAATACTAAATAACAAAGAAAAGGATATATAACGTGTAAAACCTTAGTGGCAAAGTAAGGTGGAAGATAAGGTAACATAACAAGACAGGTAAGCACAGTACGTACGTTGATTCAAACTTGGCTTGCAGCTTGCAAGGTTTAGGGTTCCTTTCAAGAACTGCTTCCACACCAAACGTTTCAGTGTTTTAAATTTGTACTTATTTATTGATTATTCTGAACACATTAGTCTTGATTTTGTGGTTTAACTAACTCAGATTAGTATAGAGATAACCACCGCTTAATTAATTAGTGTAAGCTCATATATAATTTATATACTGAATACTTTTCTACATTTATATATAATATATTTGGTTAATGAATATGTGTTTGATATCTTAGATGAAAAGGAGTATTCAATGTTTGTAAGGAAATTGCTCGTTTGACAAAAGAAAATATAACTAGAGAGGAGCTTTGTTCGGATTAATAGATTATTAGTATATATGATAATTTAGTATTTCTTTGCCGGTCACTTAATATAGATTAGTATGGTTTAGATGAAGGATAAATAAAGCAATTGATAAAATTCGGAAAAAAAAGGATATGAGATTAAAAGAATTAATTAACTTCTAAGCTTCATTAAGACTTGGAAAAACAAAGACAGGTAAGGACATGTGTCAATCAGAGGACTGAAGGAGTAGCTGAATTGCACATAGGAGAAGGTGGGGACTCGAATGATCAAATTTGCTTTTGATAAGAGCCTTGCACCCATCGCTACGTATGCTTCAAGATATATACTATTGAATTATACAATTATCTAAAGTCTAAACATAAAATCCTCGATATACTAAACAAAAGTACTTTCTTGATCTGTGTTCGGACGACAGGCTGTATTAATCTTCACGCACATACACATGTACGAACGTTCGAATTTTCGAATGAACATGTTGTTAACAAATGGCATTGTATTGGAACCAAAGCGAAGCAAAGGTATTTTCGTATCTTGTACATCTTTTCTTTCCAAGGACCAACACTTTCACCAAACACTCTTTTCTTGTTGACTATTGCGATACAGATGTTTGAAATGATACAACTAAAAAGTTAATAATATGATCATCATCATTACTATCTCGAGCAAAGTTTAAACATTCGCCGAAGACTGACGAGGTTTTTCGAAAACTTTAGGGAAATAAGTCGAGCAGAAGATCTCAAGTAACACCGGGAACTGAAGAACAACGAACATCCCCAGCGGAATCACTGCGAGCAACATAAACTGAGCCAAAACCCAAGAAATTTTATCTCCAACCAGAGTCATGAGCGTTACGACAAAAGTCACCATCATCGTCGCCATCGAGAGAAACAAAGACAAAAGACCCACGATCAGTTTCGTCGGAAGTGATCGAAGAAAGTCCTCTTCACGGTAACGAGACTTGAGAATGCCGAGGAACATGAGGAGAGACATGCACGAGGTAAATAGAGAGATAGCATCGGAGATGATGAAAATCTTGAAAATGTTCTGGTGCATGTAGAGTGGCAAGCCATTGTCCGAGCGGTAACCTCCAGGGACAGTAAACGCCGATGAAAACATCATTGTAGTAATTAGAGCTGCCACGACTGTGCAAGAAGCCGCTGTGTCTTTCATCCATTTCTCTCCTTGCTCCACGAGTTCCTTGTGTTGGTCTGTAAACAGAGCCTTTGGAGTTTTCTTCTGCTTCAAGTTAACCATCTTTCGATGCTTTGGTTGCACTAAGCTCTCCACTTCCTGGATCCAAGAAAGCAATTAAAAATCCCTATGATTATGGTTTGAGAAAAAATATTTATAGATGTTTGAAAACAGGGTTTTAATCCTAGGTTCCTGCCGCACATTTATATTTATGCCTAGTTTCTTGTGTAGCAAGTAGTTATATATAACTGTATCACCTTAAACCATTGTAGTTCCCTTTGCATCTGAAGAGCTGCACCGGGGATAAGGTTAAGTCGCGAAGCCGGGGCTCGATAAGCCGCATGATGAAGCATATTGTTATGGAGTTTGTCCCAAGCTGTAGCCAGGATGTTCTTCTTAGCACCCATATTGTATATGAGGCTAAAGATCTTCTCTTGTCGCTGGCTTACCGCGTAGAAGAAGAGGTTAAGACCATAATTATCTTTGAGCCATACGATATCAGGATAATGCCTCATTACTTCGTCGATATACTCTACAATACCATTCTCTACCGCCTTAAACAGAGCTTGGTGTAGACCCGTGTTCTTTTGTTGCGCCGCGTCAAAGTTTGGTATCTCTCCGCATATACAGTCTAGTATCTTTTTGGCTCGAGCATGTCCTAACTTCAGTTTGTATACACGTCTTATGCGTGGAACTGTCAATTAAAAATCATATAAAACTGACCAAAATCATGGACAGGGCTCACAATTTGAGATGGATACTTACAAAGAATTTTGAGGTGTTTCCACAACTTGTCTTGAATCCGACTATGATCTTCTGCTTTCTTGTATTGATGTTCATGATGATTCAGAACTTTGTGAGAGTTATTAACTTTCTCTATGTGAATACCTGCAAGAACAAAACCATCACTATTAATGATCTATAATGTGTATTCCCAACAAAAATTACAGCCTAGTAACACCGAACTTCCTTCTATTAATTTGAAAGTCTAATACTAATAGTATAAGCTAAGTGAACTCACAATGATATATCCACTGTTGCCAAAACGTAAGACGGGTACCGCTAGGAAACGCACAAGGCGTTTGAGCAAGCGCGATGATCGCTGTATCGTTGTCGCTGTCTCGTGTATAAGCCAGCTTAGGATACCTTTGAATCAAATCCAAAGCAATACCTTCATATATGCGCCACATTAGCCCTTTTATGAACATATGGTGAAGTGCATATTATAGTTGCCAAAAAAAAGTGAACATTAATTAGGTACTTACCATATAATCCATCGACAATACAATTAGTCACAAGCATCGCTCCGTTCTTGCCCTTGTGATCATCTGAACCATCAGGATCGAGATCACTGAGAGGTGTGTGATTGTAAAGATACCGAACAAGATGCTTGTGTCCGTACAAAGAAGCCACCACGATTGGTATATGCTCTTTCGAGTTCCGGACACTAACCAAACCGGGACATTTGTTCACCAAACACTCTGCTATTCTCACAGTTCCACCGGTCGCAGCATAAGTAAGCGCAGTGTAACCATTATCATTCTTGATCTTCAACACTTGCTCTGGATCATGAATTCGTCTTACGATCTCTTCCACGATGTTGATGTGACCCGACAAAACAGCTTTGTGGATTGGTGTGTCTCCGTTAGAGGTTAAGCTTGCGGTCAAAACCCCTGGGTTTCGGTCCAAGAACTCTTTCGTGGCTTCTAAGTTTCCACTGTCTATGTTCTTGAAGAGGACAAGATAGGTCGAGTTCTCTTGTCCTACCTGGCCTTGTGATAGCTCGGCTGCTGCTTCATCGGTCTGCATACTATCTGACCGAAAACTTATGCGACCTGTTTCTTGTCGTATACTGTCCGCTCTGAAACCTCTGGGATAACCTTTTTCGGTATCCATCTGTCGGTTACTTCCCGCAAGAAACGTGGTGGTCTGTTTTTGTTTAAGTGTAATATCTTTCCTTAATAATATCTCTGTTAGCCTGTATAAGCAAACATAAATACTTTCCGTTATTCGAACAGAGACATGACACATGAGTAAAGTGTTGGAAGAGTGGTGACTTCTCTTTGAAGGAAGGTTTTAAAGGACAGAAGGAAGAGAGAATGATTCAAGGAATTATCGTTACACTGTAATACGATTAATCCTTGGCCATTCGTACCAAGAACGATTTCAGGATTTAGTTTCATCTCTTTTTTTTTTCCTTTCTATCTTTGTGTTTGTTACTGTAACTTTTCCAGGGAATATAAAAAAGAGTGTGAAGCTTTAGACTTTAGTGTTACACAATTTTACGTCGTTGCAAAGCAAAGAATTCACTCTGTTAATTGTCAGTAAACTTTTTAAAATACTTGAACTTGGTAAGAAAACTCATATAATTTTACAAGTCACTGGAATGTAAATAGGAGTGCTTTGTGATTCTTCACTTCTGTTGTATGATGTAAAATGTAAAATGTATTAAATACTATATATTTGGAGCTATTTATTAAATGTAGTGCCCCAAAATTGGTTTTCAATATTTATTTTGATTTGATTAAATATTACATTTTTTATAAGTATATATTATCATATAATAAAATCTAGATCCAGAATTTAATAAAACTTGTGCTGATTTTGTTGTGATAAGATAACATTAAATATAGTGACTTATTTGGGGGATTTTTAAATATATGTGACTGTGTATATATAACGGCAAATATTAATTAGTAATTACAATTGAACCAGACCTTATCTTCGCAAAACTCAAACTCCTCTTTTGCCGGCGACGCTTCTCTTACTGAATATTTCAGTAAGATTTAGATCTCAATTCTTCTCTCCGGCAATGGCGATTCCGTTGCCTCTCACCTCTTACTCTCCAATCTCAGCTTCTTCGTCTACTTCTTCTCTTTCCCGAACCTCTTTCGTCCCTCTCACACCTCGCCATCGTAGTTTCTTCTCCGAACAGAATTGTAGTAGACGTGTACTTCTCAGCTGCTCTTCTTCTTTGTCCTCAGACAACGGTTCAGCTCCAGAGTCCATGAACGGGAACGGAAACGGGAACGGAAACGGGAACGGGAGGTATTAAAATCTTCAATTTGCAATTTTTAACGCCCATCAGATGTTTGTGAAAATTCGTCAATGAAGACACTTTTGGGTTTAGGGTTTAAGACTTTATTCAAAATATACTGTAAATCTGATACTTTGTTGTTGTTTTGGTTGAAGTAAATCTAAACCCTTTCATGAAGTTTGGAACTTTTGGCTGATTTTGTTAAAACTCTGTTGCCATCTTCTGTAATTTTTCAGTAGCTTAAACGGCCAGTCATCTTTTCCACGAATGCCTTCCTTCGATGGAACATCTAAGCCACCGCTTAAATGGAGAAGGGTTTTACTCAAAGTCAGTGGAGAAGCTCTTGCTGGAGACGAGGAGCAGAATATTGATCCAAAGGTTTTTGTGATGCGAAAATACCTTTTTTGTTTTTTGCGTTTCTTTGTTCTCTGTTTCCTACTACAGAAGTCTCACCCAGTTTCCCATTAACTAGGTTACTATGGCGATTGCAAGGGAAGTTGCAGCAGTAACTCGACTTGGCATTGAGGTTTTTCTTGAAACACTTTCGTTGAAACATTCTTGTCCTAGTTGTCATTGTGTTTACTATGGCCATGGATTCAACACTTCTTAATGGTTAGGTATTCAGCTATTACTTCTTTCCTAGTTGATTGACAGAGATAAATGCAACAGTTAAAATACTCCAATTATTTGATAATTGCTTGTGTAGAAGTAACAAAATATATGCTGAAAATCAATTAGCTCTAGAAACGGGAGCTTAAGTTAAGGGGTGGAGATTCATGGGACTACACAACCTAAAATTAGAATTGTATTATGGTTTAAACATGCTATGCGTGCAACAGATGATGGGTCTGGGTCATTGAGAATTCTCATTGCAATGTTGTGTGTGCTTTGTCTTGATCTTCGTACGCTTTTACAATAGGTTGCTATTGTTGTTGGGGGTGGAAATATCTTTCGTGGATCCACCTGGGCTGGGTGCAGTGGCCTTGATCGTTCTTCTGCTGATTATATCGGGTAATCATATCCCACTCTCGACTCTGGTGCCACTCAACTTTTTTTTTCTTAATTTTTACGCCTTTTTATGTCCAATGACTGTGCCTTCTTACTCGGAGAAGATCTAGAATTTCCCCCTATTGGAGGTTTTTGGTCTCATTGGTTTATCTGAAATTTGATAGGATGCTGGCAACTGTGATGAATGCAATATTTCTTCAGGCGACAATGGAGAGTATCGGCATCCCAACCCGGGTTCAAACTGCTTTCCGCATGTCAGAAGTCGCAGAGCCTTACATAAGAAGACGAGCAATCAGACATCTAGAAAAAGGCAGGGTTGTAATATTTGCAGCTGGAACAGGCAATCCGTTCTTCACCACCGATACTGCAGCAGCTCTTCGATGTGCTGAAAGTAAGTAAGAGGTGGTTTCCGTTTTAAAGCTTTCTTCAATGATTCATTTTATCATTTGCATCATTTTAAAAATCCCTTCTTGCATTGGACATAGTTAATGCAGAAGTAGTGCTGAAAGCGACAAATGTTGATGGAGTGTTTGACGATGATCCTAAACGCAACCCAAACGCTCGCCTTCTCGACTCATTGACTTACCAAGAAGTAACCTCAAAGGATCTCTCAGTGATGGATATGACTGCTATCACTTTGTGCCAAGAAAATAATATCCCAGGTCCGTATTCCAAAACACTCCCTGAAACCTTGAACCACGTACACGATTATCAACAAGAATGCGTACTTGATCTGTGTTGATTTTGCAGTTGTGGTATTCAATCTATCGGAACCTGGAAACATCGCCAAAGCAATCAAAGGAGAGAGAGTCGGTACATTGATAGGAGGAACTTGGAACTCTGTTGTTACAACTACTACATGAAGCCTCTTCCCAAAACACAAACTTAATACTAGACTATCTTAGGTCAGGAGAATCTTATAACTCCTGTATATATACTATAGTTTGCAGACAAAGGTTTAGGAATCTGTCTGAAATTTTTGAAAGTTAAGTTTAATTTCTTTTTTTTTACATGAAGCTCATTTTTAAACCCTTTGGGTTACAACATTGGGATATGTCAACATACAATACAAGAAAAAAAAATTACAGATCAAAACACAAAAATCAGAATATTATGGTTTCTAAAGATCCCAAAAATGACTACTAAAGACATCAGCAAATGTTGGAGAAGCAATATTATAACCAGGACTAAACAGAAACGGGCTCATAAATCCCGCCGGCGAGAATAAGCCCGGCGGTATAGCCGGCGAGAACATCCCACCTTGATGAATAATCGGAGAGAAAATCCCGGCAGAAGCTGTTGGCAGCATCGCCGGAGACGGGGAGAGTATCCCCGGAGCATAACCACCAAATTCAGCAGCTTCATCCATGGCCGTCGGGATTTCATCATCTCTCGCAACCACCGGGTCTTTACCTCCTCTCGGGCTAGCATTCTCCGTGGAAGCTAGCCTCGCCGCCGGAGAAACGTTTCCACCACCGCCGGATTCGAGGAAAACTTCAGAGGAGATCCCGGTGAGACGCTGGACGACGTTCATGAATTCCGACGCGGTGGCGTGTACGACTTTGGGGGAGACGGCGTAGATAACAACGGGCTCTCTAGGAACATAAGGAGGAGGGTGGTCACGGTTCTGCGGCGGCGCAGGGTGTTTAGGAGGTTTCTTGATGATTTTGCGAGAGTCTTTGTGGACGCTGAGAGGTGAAGGACGAGGACCACAGATCTGAAGCTGCCGTTTCTGGTTCTGTTGATCGCCGCCTAAATACTCCGACGGATCCATTAAAGATAAAAATTGGGAATTTTCTTCTTCTTCTTCCAAGGAAGAATTGATCTTTTTTTGTTTGTTTTGGTTTTGTTCTTCTCTGTTTGGTTTTGGGAATTGAATGTTTTTGTTTGGCGACTGATAGAGAGTAAATTGACCAAAACAACACAAAAATTGAAAGAACAAAAAAAGAGTTTCTCTCTCTCTCTCAGACTCAGAGAAGGATTAGTTTGACTTTCAAAAATGTTGACTTTCTGTGCGTCCAACCAAACCTTTACAGCACATGCTCGATGAGGAAACTCACCATTCTTGGAAAATTAGTAGGAAAGATCTTAGGAATCAACATTTTCAGCTCCTGCTGCTACACACACTACTATTATACTATTATTATGTACACTAATAATTTAAGTATAATCTTTTCAATCATTACCTCTCTCTCTCTCTCTCAGTCTCTGCCCATACAATTAACTTCTTTGAATGTTTCTAGAAGTTTACAAGATTTTTGGTAACAATCTATTTTTTAGTACCTAAGCTATTGTCATTACTCATTACTGCCATGCATGTTACAAGTAACAAACCTACTACGAGTTTAAGTAGAAGATAATTTCAAACCTAGTAATGTTATTTTAATTTTGGATAATAAACTTAAAACAAACCTAGTATACTCAAAATATGTCTAATCTTTTTAGAAAATGTAACACAAAATAATTTATATTTACACAAATCTATGGGATTTTTTTTCTTCTTTTTTTCTTTTTTTTTTTCTCAAACTTATTAGCTTGGGGTTTGGTTTTTTTTGGGATGTTTGATGTTAGATTGGTCTCTCTATAATTCTTACATTCATCTATGAAGCTTGGGATTATTGGTTTTAACATACTCATACTACCGTGATGATTCACTTTGGTATACAAATACGACATTCTGTTATGAATTAACATAATTAACTAAAGAGATTTAGGGTCATCTTGAATTTATCTGAACGAACGCGCTAAAGACTTTTTCGAAACATTTTAATACTGCTGTACGTTTAGAAAAATATTGTTACGGCTGAAATAGGAGGATTAATTGGTTAAAGAGTCCCGCCAAAAAGAAATAAACATGGGCTACGGCCCAATAGAATAGGTGGATATACAGACTATAAACTCAAAGCTAGGGCCCATATTACCAACATACAGTAATAGGTAGTTAAATTCGTTATAGGCTCAAAAAAAAAAAAAAATACAATTTCGTTATAGAAAACAGGTTAAAAAAACCTTATAAATGTTAATATCTTCTAACAAATACGATGATGCGATGTAAACAAGTGATAAAACACCTATGTTTTTTATTTGTCATTTGGTAGAAAATATAAACAAATAGAGCATTGATGCATACAACCTGAAAACTTACGTGTAAATAGATTCTTACTATTCAAAAGGATAAAAACTATGGTGCTCTTTTAACAAAATACAGAAGTAGTATTTGCTTTATCCTTCTAACAATATAAAAGGAGAGAATAAGTTTCAATTTAAATTATGTTGAAGCAAGTACCATTCAAATCAAAATTCGAACAAAGGATAGAATAATAACACTCAAAAGCAGGTGGGTGTGAGAGAGGCATGACCGTGAAATGTTGCAACCTCCTCTAACAAGAAAATAAAATAGAGACCATATTTTGTTTGTCACTTCAATCTAAAGGAACCTTATTCCCTCCTTTATTTTGGTTTTAGTAACCACAAAATTATATAACCATCCATTTATTTAAACTCATATTAATACGTTCAACTTGTAGTCAGATTCAGTGAACCATACATATCTCTATCTGATTAATCTTTTAAGTACATGAAGCTGTCATTTGTACCAATAGTGTGTCTATCTAAATATATAGAGTTTTTAATTTTAGCCTCTGCTAACAAATCAAGCTAATCTTCTTAATAAGTCACTTTGATCCCTTCTCTACCATCTCAATGTAGTCACAGATTTTCAAATACTATTCAATCAACATTAGACTCCAGAAACAGAGCATATATAAAACTTTCGCAAATCATAATAATCTCATCAGACGAATAACAAAATGCAAACATATACAACACGTCGAGTCTTTAAATTGCTGCTGTGTGACCAGTTAAAATCGCTTGTTTCAACACAATTACGAGAACCATTCCATAATACTATAATGGTAACAAAACTTGTCTAATGAATTTACAAATATCTCTACTACGTTTCAAAATAGTTTATGATAGTAACACAATTTTACTTTAAAATTTTCAAAAAGGCATGATATGAGTAGTCTTGGTCTCATAAGCAGACAAAGCAGATGATGAATGAATCTTCAACACTTTAATCAGATCTTTCGCCATCTGTCTCACCATCCCTGAGCAGTTGCTCTGTATCACCACCAACAGCTTCGTCACTCCGTTACTCCTCTCCACCGCTTCCTCCGCCTTCTTGTCTTCCCTGAACACGTAGCACAGACACCACAGTATCGTCACCGCGTGCTCCGTCGCCGTGGTCGACACTTTCAGCAGCTTGTTCACTACTCCTTCGACGCATCTGCCGTTGTCGTCGCCGCAGATCTCCGCTCTCCCTTCTCGCTTCGACGACAGAGTCTCCAACAGCTTCAGAGACTTCTCCGTCACCGAGACGCTCGTCGATAACGTCTCCGTAGTGGTCATGAGAATGTCTTTGATTTTGGTGATTGTTCTCGCGGCGATTAGTTTCGACCTAACTCGTTTCGATTTCGAGATTGTGATTAGAAAAGATAAACACGCTTCGATCAAACTCGGATCTGACTCGGTGACACTGATGGATTTGATCATCTCTGTTAAAACGCCGTCACGTTCCGCGACTAAGAGCTTCGATTTAGCGTCGTATGAGATCCGATCCAAGACCCTAACGGATTCGATCTTCGATTGTAGATTCCCTCGTCGGATCGCTAAGAGAATCGTCGGTAAACAATCTCCGCCGTCGTCGTCGTTATTCGCCAGCATCAGATTCGATAACATTTCGCGATCTGGTTTGATCGTATCCAAAATCTTAATCGCCATAAGAGCTAGCTCCATCTTCTTAGAGCGTATGATATCAACGAGCATTGGTATAAAATCCATCTTCCTCGCCGCGAGAAACTCTCTGTTCGAATCCGAATCCTTCACGAACCGAACGATCTTCGTCAAAATCTCCTCAATATCGTCTTTCTCGAAACTCATCAATCTCTTCAACGACTGGTTGATTTCTTCCTTGGTCGGAACTAATTCAACAGACGGAGAGCCATCACCACCGCGGGGGTAACGGGAGCCGAGAGAGTGGGACCAGATATGGATAAGACGTTGAAGAGTGAGGTTGGGAACGAAGTCATGAGTATTGAGGAGTTGCATAGTAGCGGGACAAGTGTTGTTGCCTCCGTCGAGCCATCTCTGGATACTGGCTCGATCGTAGGTGACGCCGGTGCAGAGGCTGACCGGAGATGTCATGACGTCTAGAGATATAGGACATTTGAAGAAGCTGGGGACTGTAATGTACGTCTCTGTTTCATCATCTCTCCCCATTGAATACTCAAAAGAAAAGAATCAGAGAAAATCTGGGGGAAGGGGAGAAAATGCGGGAAAAGGAGAAGAAGAAGAAGAAGAAGAAGAAGGAGAAGAGATGCTAATTGCTAAGTGAAAGGTGAAGAAGAAACAAAAGTGAGTGGGTTTAAAGACAGAGAGACAGAGAGAGAGAGAGAGAGAGTCAAACGCACGCTTGCGTCACACCCTTTATGAACCTAATTAAAAAAAAAATCAATAAATATTCCTAAAACATCATAAATACACGATAGTATTGAATTGAATAATCCTAATGACAAGTCAGAAAATTGAAAGATTCAACTAATAATATGAAGTTTCTGGTCATTGGTCAAATAAATCAAAGAACGTTTCTCTCTACGAGTGTGGATCGGGTCAAGTCGTAACCGTTTCGATGTGTTGTTGTTGATGGATGGGAAGACTAAAGACTTTGACCCAGACCAAAGGCAGTGTGACCTGTACGTGACTACGTGGTATGATGAATGAGTTAGCTAGGGAGGGTAGAAGCTGGTGGGATCCCATATCTCTCTGCTGCACGAGTGGGGCTATTTTGGTCTCCACATGGGCCTTTGGCTTTTTTGGTCCATCTTTATATGTTATAATAATAATTTGTGTTACTGCGACTCAGCAAATAAGTTAAATGTGGGTAAACAGATTATACAAGGTGATGATAAAAATAAAGATTTGGTTGTGTTGTTTTAGTGGCTTCCACTACGGAGAAAGAGAGCTTTGAGATATAATAATTTGTTGTTTATATTATTCAAGCCTAAGCGAATGTGTTATATTATTGATTCGGGGAAGAAAAGCAAAAAAGCGTTTCTGGTTTTCTGGGATTGTTCTTCTTCTGGTCAGCAGTCTACTGTATACATATGTTTTGTTTGTTAGATCACATCTCTTTTTTTAACCTTTTTGTCTGTGATGAGCAATAACGTATACTATAATTTATAGATACTAACATTGTTTAGTTTAGTTGTCTGAAAAGTATGGTCGGACTCCGACTGCCTAATTGCGTCTATTCATGAAGCTAATTACAATATTTAGGGGTTTAGCATGAATTATTATTATTCAAATTCAATGGATCTGAGTTTGGTCCTATCTAGTTTTGTTTATTAATCATTGCTTTAGTTGTTCACGGTTGTGCCATATTTGTATATTATTACATATAAATACATTACTTTATGTCGATATAACAAGGGTGGGGTTGCTTTGCAGTTAATACATACGTTTAAATGATTTTATTTTGTGTTAGTTTTATTTTGTTTTTGTCTCTCCATTGATTCATAATTACTGTATTTGTTTGCATGCATAATTATTTGAATAGTTTCTTTCTTTGAATTTAAGAAAACAGCTATAGTTGATTTTTTGTTTTGATCCGTATGTTATATAAAAGCATGGGTGGCCGAAAGCTGTTGGCCTAAATAGTAAAACCAAACTTAGGTGTTGAAAAATTATATCATTTTATCAGAGGTAGTATAGGAGTATGATGAAATGCTTGCTGACTCGTGAATCATTTTATATTTTGAATAGTTTTGTCACAACAATCAAGTTTCTTATAATTAGTTTTTTTTTAAAGTTCAGTTAGGTTTAGGAAAGGGTAAAGATTATAAACAATAGCGATCATCAAGCATCAAAGTGACATGAATGGTAATTAAGTAGCATTTTAGACAACAAAAAAACTATAAATTTTCTCGAATAGTTTTGATTTTTATTTATAATCATTCTAGTGGGAGATGCGAATGAATTGAGTATATATGTATGTAAATTAAATCGTGAGCATATAATTTATAATAAGGGTAAATTGCACCGAAAGGAAAAGAAAAAAAAGTTTGTATAATGATGCACGTTCGCATCATATTGTCTAGAATTAGCAATTATGCGAAATCGGAAAAACAAATCAAGCCCAATTCACCTTTTGATAAAATTACCTTCACGCATCCATCCATTATTGTTCTTGGTGGGCAATAATTTCAACTTGTCCTCATATGTAAGGTTAGTTTTGGCAACTTTTTTTTTGTTTTCTTTCACAAGATTTTTAGGTTCTATTTTTGTTCTAGTACATATCGTCATCTGATAAAATCAGTTTCATACAAACGTAAAAAACTTTTACACTTGTATCATGAGTAAATACTCATGATAACTGGTATATAGATATGGCAAAGATAATTTCTGAATGAGAGGCATATTCACAATTTTGGTGCAAGTAGTTTAAAATAAATAAATATGAAGATGAAGATAGAGAGATATGAAGGAGAATCGAGTTCCAGAAGTGTGGGGTTTGTTGTTGTATTATTCAGAGGTTTCCATTGGCAGAGGCAACTCGTTTGCATCACATGAAACTAAAGAAAAAAAAAACATATCCAATGTTGTGTTCCCCGTTCGAAGTCAACATCATTCAATTCATTCTTAGTGACTCATTTATGAAGAGTTTTCTAGAATATTTGTTAGGGATTTTTCAGATTTGACCAGGCACCAGCTTTTCTTCTTCGATATAGATTTGGTAACAGTTGATAACTTAGTTTTTTATGTGGGTGTGGTTTTTGTTTTTGGTGAGAGATGTATGTGGGTGTGTTTGTGTACATAAGTTTGTTAATTCTGTGAGAGATTAATATATGTTTAAGAAAAAAATTAATTTCCACAAGTCTAATTCAAGAAATGATTTAGATTTCATAAATATATACATAATTAAGAACAATGTTTGTTTTTGGGTATTTGTATGAAGGTACGTATAACATTAAATATATAAAGAGATTAAGACATTGATGATTTTATTAACTGAACAAACGTACGTAGTTTACGAACATCCATATAATTACATCTACAAAGTGGAGTGAAATATTCGAAGTTATCATTTATTTTTTTGCTCACTTGAAAGAGTGAAAGAAGGGTATTATACTCATAAACTTGAAGAGAAGGAATAATGACAAAATGCTAATGATGAAGATTTTTCACACGCTACGGGTAATTAAGGAAGATGATGAGAATAAAACGATAGAGGAGAACCGCAAAGTAACATAGGAATAATGATAATTCATTGGCGTGCGATCACATATATATAATTGTCCATAACAATTTACTTTTGTTTCGTATCATCGCAATCCCATTTGTTCCTTAATATACGGGAAGATTTTGGATATCACTAGAGAGATTCAAAACTTATAATTGACAAATAAGTAGAACAAGATTTCGCACGTAGGAGAGGAGGTATTTGCCATTGTGAGCTATACATACATACTAGTAAGTAATAATACAAGTTTTTTTGCAAAGTAAACGTGTCGCTATATATATGTAATAATGTACGTACATGTCGGCACTCCCTCTATCTGATACATTCCGATCCCGACTCTTAGTTATTTTCTTACGGTAGCTTAGTTACTGAGTTGGCTGAGTTACAAAGACAAGAATAATGCAAGTGACTATGTTATAATTAGAACTGTCGAGTACTGCATTTACCCTATTAATATATATAGTTGTGATCGAGAGCTACACACTACACAGCTAAAGCCTAAAGCCGTCTCGATATGCATTTAAGTTCAACCAACATACAGTGGAGTAGTTTAGTTGTGCTTTGTTAAAACAAAAACATCTCAAAGTTGCGGAACTTCGTGTTACTTGTATCAGAATACAAGACATTAATGAGAGTATTAACCAATTCTGCCATATTTTTCGAAATTAAAAAAAACTTAAGTATATTACAGTAAAGTGTCGTAAAAAGAAGAATGGAAAGTCAAATAAGTAACCATGATGGGGACTATATATATAAAGCCCATCCGAATGGGCTTTTATTATATCTGATGATTAAAAAAGCATATATGGCAATTATGCTTCTTTCTTTTTCTTGTCAAAGCAGTGTGTAATTATGTTTTTAATTTCCATCTTTTCCGTAAACATCATTTAGTCTTTAGTGGCTGGAATTTGCAAATTTCTCGAAAGTTTTCAAGTATGGTAAATTTGAAATTGGACTTTTTCCGGATACCTTATAGGTAATATAGTATTGAACTAGCATCAAATTGGTTGAAGAATTTCAATCATCCCAATTAATGGATCTATTACCAATATGTTTTCTGCAGTGCTATATATGGTGAATTACCAACGTAAAAAAAAAGAGTAATAAAGTTAGATGATCTATCTACTATCTAGTGTAGTTTATTTTCAAATTCCAACACTACCAACGGGCAACGAAACCTATAAAGGTTATAGATGTGGAAAACATTCTAAGGAATTGATTCCATTAGCCGATTAACGACATGCATAATGATGTAATCAAGTTATGTAGATATAGGTTTTTCATTTTTATAAAGAGTCAAGTCAGTGGTATTTTATCAAATTGAGTGTCCGTCCTATCGAGTAAAGCTTAGATACATGAAGGTGTTTAATTTGCTTACTTAGCTTGATCCGTTACCACATTTTTCTAACTCGGAACTGAAACACAAACTGCAACTGGCCACTCGTCCAACTTATATATAGGCATGATATGATTGTCTTTTTGTTTTGTTTTTCGAAAACTTCATGATATGGTTGGTTAAACTCATGTGTTGAGGCTGATAAACCTTGTTATATATTTTACAAATTCGGTTAATGAAACTTTTTTTGTTTTTTCGGTTAATGAAACTTGTCGTTTAGAAATTTGAAAAACCCAACTTGAAGAACCATGTTTAGACGAAGATTGATTAACTATGCACGCATGGATATCGTACGTATTTGTATATAACTTGCCTGCAGCTTCATCTCTATAGAGTATACAAAGCATACAAAACGCTTATTTTTGGGAAACTAAAGTAGCATTCAAACCGCAAATGAAGCAATTATATTGGACAATTATGTAACAAGAAAGAAAGAAAGAAAGAGTACTTGGGACCAATATGGTTGGCTCATCAGTCTACAGTCTCTACAAGTGACACTAATTAAAAACCATAGTATAATTAGAAAACACTAAAATTAATAACAAAATCGAAAGATAGGTATTTTCTTTCTCATCAGTCTATCGTCTTTGTTTCTCTTGTTTGGGCTTTAGACTCCAGGGATATCTTCGTTTTCCGCTGGCTTAAGTTGTATTCCACAATGTATCCTTCGAGTTTTATTAATACTACCAGGTGACAAAAAAAATAAAAAATAAGAAAGCAATACTGAGAACATATAAATATCAAAAGGGACAGAGGAAAGGGACAGAGGAAGTTGTTCCCACTTCCCATCTTCTCAACCTGAACTTTGGGGAGTTTGGGACCCAAACACCTTCTCCATTGACCATCCATTCATTTTTTTTTGGGTAAGATTGACCATCTATTCATTAATTCGCTATTCTCTTAAATAAACCATTCAACCTCTCAATGCATTACCATCAAGGCATCAAACTTTTTTTCTTTATACAGTATTATTATTATAGGGTAACCGTTGTGTAATTAATGTATGCGCATAGGATACTACATTTTTGTAAATAGTTTCTGTATACAGTATAGTGTTGGCATTTGAATCACTCTAATAGAGATTAGTATACTCTAGATGGAGATAAATGATTTAACTTTTTGTGGAGATATTAGAACTTAGAAGTGCTTTCATATAGTATGCAACTTCCTTCTCAGAGAGAGATTATGGACAATTATATATTACTTTCTTCAAAAATCTTGTTAATCAAAATAGTTATTAAAAAAACTGTTGGTAAAGAAATGAAAAAGAGTAAAAACTAGGTCCATATTTGCCTTTTTCGTTTTAATATATTTCTCGTATCCTCATAGTCTGCTTCTCATGTCCCCCGGTCCACCTGACACTGCATGTATATAAAAGAATAAATTCCAAATCCACTTAATTATTTCTTCTATATATATTTTTCATAAAATTTGGATCTTAAAAAATATTATACAGTTTCCACGCAAAAGAAGAAACTTTTTTAATCATTTAATAAAATGTAGACACTCTCTTATCTTATGGACGATCTCATATACATACAATATAAATGAATGTTCAGTTTTCCCCTAACTTTTCTTTAATTTTATTATTGGCCATTATAGTTTGTTCCAGCCAAAGTTAGAGACTTATTCACTTTGGCCATTATAATTTTTCCAGCTAAAGTGTGATGCTAAAGTGTGATGAGAGACTTGTTCAAAAAGGGTTGCTTTCAAAAGCTCATCTCTCTCTCTCATTCTGCTGATATCATCACTACTTACCATCTTTTACTCCATCAAGAAATCCTCAACAACAACAACACTCCAAGAAAACAAAAAAAAAAACAAACCCACTTCCCCAAAACTGAAGCAAACAAAAACATCTCTACTGATCTCCTATTCTCTAGAATTTCAGATTTTGAAACCAAGAAAAATGTTTACTACGCGTCCTCCACAACAACATTATTGGAGAAGAACATTATTATCAATAAGCCCACCACAGTCTTTTCTTCTTCTGATACTACTCTGCTTCTTCTTCATCCACCACTGCCACGCCTCGAGATTCTCGTCATCAAGCGTTTTCTACAGAAACCCTAATAATGATCACAACAACAACAACAACAGGATGAGGATGAGAGGCCATTTCTTAGGATTCTTTCCAAGACACTTGCCTGTTCCAGCTTCTGCTCCTTCACGAAAGCACAACGACATTGGTATTCAAGCACTTTTGTCTCCATGAATCATCACTCTCCCTCTCTAGCTCTCTGGATAATTTATATATATACTACAATATATGTAATGCATGCACTAATACACAAAATGAAGTACACGACCATTCATATCGGTCTCTGATATGTTTGCTTTAACATGAAATTAGGGCTTCAGATGTTTGACTCCTTTAATTTGATCCTTAATCTTTTCCTTTGCATATGTAATCTATTTAGAGTTGAAGTGCAAGATGTTGTGATTAGGTTTGGGATTTGTTATTCTCACACTTTTTTTTGCTGTTGTTGTTTTTGTTGTTCTTGAATATGTAAATGATCAAGTTTACGAGATGAGATATTAGATGCTACAATCTCGTTACTTCTATGCCTAATTAATTGATAAATCTAATTCTATTGATAATACTCATTTTATAAAGTTTAATTTGTAAAAAAGAAAATGAAAATCATCGTCTTTTATAAAGTCCAAAAAGAAAGAGCAACAACTTCATCACCGTCTAGAGAACACCATGGGTCATCTTTTACTCGTTCAACCAATGAGATATGAAAAGAAGAAAAATATGTCTCCAAAAATTGTTTAGACTACGACAACTTTTTAGAAAAATAAATTATATTAAGAATACTATATATCCTACACAGTTGCACTATACAAATATAGTAGTGACTAGTGAGACTATATGATATGCAATTTAAACAGAAACAAAAAAACAATAGGCAGTGCATGAAGGTATAATTTATTATATATTGTCAAAAGATAGAAAGAGTGAAAAAGATAGTCCAAAAAACCACGCAAGGTGTTTGGGTTTATTAACGTAGAATCGTAAAAAATAATAATAGCCTTCGTCATGTACAGAGAGAGTGTCGCTACCAGGCAATAACCCATCCCGCCACGCCCGGATTGATTTGACACTCGTTTTACAATTTTCTACAGTGAGATCTATTTTTATTTTGTGACAATTTTTATTATCTCAGCTAGCCTAACGTTACTTTAAGATTCATAACAATGTATATTATACCTGACAAAACACAATCTCTTAAGGAAAAAGTTAGATAACCGGTCTATCATTTGTTGTCCACCAGATTCTATATATATAGTTGTTTTTTTTTTTGTAAACGATATATAGAGTTGTTTATGAAAACGAGAGATTAAAAAAAAAAAATTTATGTTCGTATAACGTATAACCAAGTATACGTTAACGATTCTTCACCAAGTACAGTATATTTTCATTATTATTCGTAAGTTATTACATGTATAGTTATAGACGTATGTATACAATACATTTTATTCACCTTTAAAGTTCTTTTTATGGTTTAATGGAGAGCATGATTAAGATTAAGTATAATATGTATCATAGAATATAAAAAGATCATGTACAAAAGACACGAAGCCGAAAGATGTGCCGTTTTTCACATAAAAGATTAAGCTTAGTTTTTCGCCGAAGGTTCTTGTGCATAAAAATGTTAAAAAGCTCACTTTTCTCATCTCTACATTGAAAAAGTAAACCAAAACTCTAATAGTCTAAGTTTTAACCAAGATTACGATTTTGTTTTGCATTTGATTAACTAGTTTCTTTATCTTCTTTATCTTTCTTCAAAGTTCAAACTACACTCACAAGATCACCATCTACTAATTACACTTGGAACAATTATGAAAAATGATGAGTCTTTTAATTGGAAGAGAAAATGGCCAACACCGCATGATTTGTAGAATATGATGAGGAAATGTTAATGGTATTATTATTAATACACGTTTAAATCTTCAGAAAAATTCATATCATTATCCGATAATTCCGCAATCGATTCTAAAATTACAAATACACGTATGTACCTTCTCATATGATTATGTCACTTTACAAATTTAAATTTACTACATACATATAGAGATGATCACTCCCATATGTGCCACGTATCCTCCAAATATTTTAACATACAGTAATTGATATCAAAAATACAAACAAAAGCTATTCACTACTATTATCAAGTGTATGTGATTTAGAATCGATAATTCTTGATTTTGATGTTGAAAGACTCATTCTTAAAGATCTCTACGTTGTAATTTGGTAGAAATCGCGAACAGTGAAACGTATGGTCAAGTTGGCATATGACTTAAGAAAATCAGTTAAAAGTTATAACTCTGTAAATTATAGGTGAAGCAATCGAGTTCATTACCCTTTTGATATTTTGTTTGACAAATCCCTGCAACAAGAACTCTGTACAACTCTCTTCAGTGTTCATAGTATCAAACAAATGAACTCACCAATTTTGTCTTAGAAACATAAAAGCTACTTAATCTTCCTTGTCTAAGTATAGTATAGTGTTCAATTTTTCAACAAAAGAGAGAAAATTATTTGCTACCATCGAATTGATATGAAGGCAAAAATAGTCACTAACCATAATTTGTGAAGTTCAATTATCAAACATATATAAATCGTCAAGGGAACTAGAATGAATAAGACTGAAACACTTGTTGTCTATCAACTCCTCCTAAAAGAGTAGGCATTGGATGAAAAGAAGCTTGATCCAGGTCATAGAGAATCCGAGCTACAGTGTATAAAAGACTTGCAACATATTGGATCATACGAAGCACAATTGTTTATTTAATCAACAACTTAAAAAAAAAGGTTTTCAAAAGACAAAAACACTTAAGGATGAAGTCGAAAACTAAAGTTGTTGTGAGGTGGTGGCTGCACCCAAGCGCTGCGGATAGACATATAGGAAGTGTAAGAAGGTTGAGTACATCTCACACAACCAAGGTAGTAAATGCCAAATTTCCCATAACCATCACCAATATGAGATGTATACACTCTGTTCCTCTCCTCCGCTGGGAGACCAGCTCTTGTGAGAGCGGCAGCAAAACATGCAAATACTGTCAATCCACCAAGTCCACTCATCTCTTCCCACACGTTGCGTTCAACGTTTAGTCTAAACACCAACAGTTTGCTGTGGTTTCTGCGGCGTGTAGTCATAACAAAGACGTCTCCGTCATGCTCTGTCATGAGCACTGGCCTCACGAGTCTAAAGTGACAACGATTATAGATGGGACATGGATTCATTTTAGGAATATTCCAGGTTACCTCAAACGGGTCGAAAACGCCGACGTAGCCGCTTGTACTGAGGCAATAGAATTTACCATTGGAGAAGACGCATCTAGCAGTTCCGGGACCATAAAACTTATTCGGAAAATGATGAAGGGTCCATACAGAATCACCAGGCCGCCAAGTTTCAACCACAAAAAAGACGTCCAAAGTTTGAAAGATGAAAGAGAGCACACAACAACTACTTGATGTGGGAGCGGCTGAGAAAGTTAAGCCATAGCCTGTGAAATATCGTTGCTTACTGGGTAAGTAGATGCGTTCCCCAGTAAACGGATTAAAGAAGAAAATCACATCAGAGAAGCCATCATTTTTGACGAGCAACCAACCATCCCTAGAACACAAGAATATATGGTCCTTGAAGTCTGGAAACTTGAGCTGATACGTTAGAGACCGTGACGGGTCAAAAAGAAGGTAGTCGCCGTCTTTTGATCCTTTGTGTGGATACAAAAGGCAAGGAGGATTCTCCAACTTCCTGATGGAAACAGCTGCTTGAAGCCATGTCTTGCAGACAAGAGAAGCGTGTATGTTAGCTTTTAGTCCGATCCGAGAGAGTATCTCTTGCAGCATCTCTTTCGGAATTTTCACATCCCACAGTCCTCCAATACACTGCTTCTTCGATCCAACATTTCCTCCTCTAGATTTTGCATAGCATCTAAACGATTACAAGAAGAAGAGAAACATGGCGTTACTGTTCGAATGTGAAATCATGGTGTGAAAAAAGCTACAAACTTTAATAAGCGAAATCAGTCGTTTTGTTCGTGCTAGTCTGACAAAACCCTAAATTCAGAGATCCTAAACTTTGGAATTTCAATTGAAAGGAGAGAACAAAGCATAAAAAAACTCACGATCTTGTGGCTGACGCTGGAAGCGCTTGAACTATGGGCCTCGCCGTGACGGATTCAGAGACCGGTGGAGTTGCCGCCGAGTATATTTTCCGGCGCGTCCTCATTTCGGACGAGTGGAGGGTTTTAGGGATTAGACGAAATGGTGGTGCTCGTTTTTAGATATCTCTCTCAACTTTTTAAAATGTGAATTCCTCTGGTTGCAACATAACCAAAAGAATTCCTTATGAGAAAAAAAAAAAAAAAAAAAAAAAACCTGAGACGCTTCAACTTTTTATAATTTAAAATTTCAAAACGTCACTAATTAATTAAATTCAACTTTTGTCAGTATATGAGCTGATTAAGAAAAATGAAACGCTTCAACTTCAACAATCTTTACACATCACACAAGCCTAGCTTTATCACCCAATTTGCGTAATATCAATATGTTGTACAAGATTCTGAAACGCTCTAAATACTCAAATATTTAATTACAAGGTTCATCATATATTGGCTAATCAGACAAGGAAGTTCTTCAGTCCTTTCTGCAGCATGATTTGACTCCGCAACAGATCTTTCCTTCGACATAAAAATGGACAGTCTCATCTTTTACATGCTTTTGGGCGATGCCACTTCGCAAGCTTGATGATGACCATGACATGTATAAGGTTTCCAAGGCTTCAACTGAGAACCCGTTGTTGCTTAGGTCCAGAATCTGCAACTGGTTTGCCATTGCAAGTGCGGTAGAAAGCTCTTCCATGATATGGTTCTTGCGTGGTAAACTAAGACTTCTTGAGGTTGCAGTTTGTTCCTCTATTTGCTCATCTTCGCTGTCTGCAACTTCAAGATCATCACACTCCATATCGGTTTCACATAACTTTTGTTCCTTGCCCGGGTTCTGGCAATGGTGTTTGGTCTCAACTCTCTGAGTTTTGTCCACTGATTCGACAGATTCGCATGTTCCATGTTCTTGCTGTCCCATTGCCTTTACATGCTGGCCAAACACGGTTTCATCTATCTTAGCATTCTCGGAAAGATTAAGCTCTTCCAGATTCTTATTATCTGCAGAACATTTAGGTGATTGTTCAAAAAGGGGAAGATATTTGGTTTTATAGCCAATTACAACAAGAGATTTATGGAAACTAATAGTTCAGACCTGAAAGTGATTGGATTATGCATAGAATTCCTGAGAGCTTTAGATGACACTTGTTTAGAATCAGAACTTTTATATTTGAACAAGGATTCATAAGAAGCATCCCCAGTGCACTGATTCCCTGTTTCAATATTGTTATACATTGAGAAGACAAGAACTTAGATAAAGATAATTTACAGCCAAATGGTGTTTACATTAATGGGAAGATCGTAACAAAGGTTGGAAATGATTATGGAATCACGAGTTCCGCTGATTGCAAAATTCTTTAGCACAATCTTTCTCAATTTTAGCCTCAACAGTTAGATGGAACTACTTGAAAAGAAAAGAGCTTTAAGATGTTGGGGTCATAGAAAATATACCTCTTCGGTGATTGAATTGCCTCCAACATTGAGTTCAAGAATACAAGATGTTAGAGTAATATCCTGGGTAAGCTTAAGAAAGAAAGGAGACGCTAGTCCACAACATGAAAGGTCGAGTTTCACAGTTTCTTCCTTCTGATAACATAAAGATTTAGTGACTTTTATAGCTCCTTCCTAGAAGAAATTTGTATAGCATCGTCAGATGAAAGAAGAGGATGCATTTATCATGATATAAGAATTCTATTTGAGTGTTCAGCATATCATCACCGTTCCTATTCCACTGCTGCCAACCAAAAGTTTTGACAAAGATGGAGTCTTAACAAATGCGGAAAGGCTATCAACAACTTGGCTACTAAGCTTTATGCCATTCATGCTCAGTTCTGCAAAGCTGAAGCGGTTTAACATATGATGTTGTTAGATTGATTTACGTTAGTGGAAAAACTGACCAAAAACAAAAAACAGCTTTATGTTTTTCTTTAACCTGCTTAGAGTAGCCAATTTAGCCAAGAGGTTTTGAATAGCACTCCCTGAAACAGGATTATTATAACCTGCCAATATATGGATACAACAACTTCAACGAACTGAAAAGAGATGAAAAAATTGAATGTACACAACAAATTAGAATATTTACCTATACAGAGTTGTGAAAGTCCTGACTCTGTATCCAAAGCATCAGCAACTTTTTGGATTGTTCTTGATGTTAGTGAACAATGTTCCACATTCAAGCTGTAAAGTGCTAAGAAACAAAAGGGCACACATTAACGTAAGCTAGTGAATGGATGATAAGAGTTAAGATGATTAATCGAACATTAGGTATCTCAAATATCTACTAGGTTTACAAGTTACCAGGGAAACCAAGATACAAAACATACCGTCAAAGCAATTAGAAAATAATAAAGAAACTATACCCCGGCAATTTTTCAAAATAGTTGAGAGGTATGATCCACAAGCATCTGTAAGTCGGTTCCTGGATATATTGAGGACTTCAAGCCGACTGAACAGGACAGGGCATTCACAGATCTGGTAGAGAGAATATATTTAATAATACGAGAATACCATGAATATGTGAAACTTTCTAGCTTTGAGCCTAGTAGTGTACCTGAAACAAAGCAGTTGGACCAAATCGATTGCAGTGCAAATCCAAAGTTAAAGCACCATACATCTGGCTTGATGAAGCAAAAAGTTGTTTCAGTTTCTCCATTGTACCATTCCCTAACAACCAATAAAACGAGATATAAAAAACTTGCAAATTTCCTAGTAGTTCTTTGTGATTTAACCAACTAATGCACCTAGGAATATAACCAACTAATGCACTTAAGCCAGCTCATTAAACTAAGTAAGACGTCAAAGATAACTTTTACCTAGCATATTGTGAGAGAGATCCAACATAGCAACTGTATTGTGGACATGGAGAGCACACAATAATGGAGCAGCTGATATGTCTTGCAGTTCACATTCTGACACATTGATATCATCCTCTACCTGATAACAACCAATGAAATAACCATTTTAAATTATACACCAAATAAAGTAAAGAATGTAAGTAGGTTGAACAACATGCAAAGAGAAGAAACTATTTTATCCATTAACCGGCAAATTTTGGAAAGAATCCTCACCTCCGACATATATAATTTCTTAAGCAATTTGATACTGGGTTTCTCTGAGAACTTCTGGCAACAGTCCATGTATAGTTTCATAAGGCGCTTGTGAACCCAGCCTGAAACAAATTAATTACTTAGCTGATTCAGCCATACTGTATAAATAAGAAGGGAGAATCAATGATCATAATCTTGAAAACCAATACAGTGGTTCAGCCACAATCATATAAAAAGTGCAACAATTTGATCATAGAATAGGATCAGCTTGACAATCATAGAACAAATATCATGAGTAGATCCCATTTGTACCAAGAAAATACTTACCATTAACGGAAGCTTCAATGACAACATTTTCAGAAGCACCTCTGAGAACCGCATGTAAATCCAATGGTTTTAGAACTCTTCCACCATATTCCAAATGATGAATGATGGGCAACAGACCTAAATAGCAATGTGGGTGTTCAAAGGTTCAAAAAACTTTTACAATTTACAGTCCAAAAGTTTACTTAAGAATGTGCTAGGGAACAAGGGGAATGATACTAAAAAACAAAATAAAACTTATGAAGCATGAGATGAGAATTATAGAGATTGATCCGAACTGGGAATCTGGGATCATGTATTCAGGCTAAACTTTTGCTCAGGAAACATAAAAGTGTACATACCTTTAGATTTCTCATCGTCAGGAAGTTGTAAATAGTATAGGCAAGTAAGTTCCACCTTCACAGACTCATCATTGCGAGAACAGGAGTCTAAAGCAATGTGTTCATTTTCAAATTCAACTTTTATTTTTTGCTGCAACAAGTAAAAGATATAGTTATCATGGCGAAGAATGGACGGAGTAGGATACATAAATGAAACCCAATCCAATCAAGAATAGTCAATGATAACTCAAAACCAGATCACGGTTGCTCACGTTCTCAGTCTTTGAGTAAGCGTGGAAGTTCACAAGAGCAGCTCCAGTTTTGCAATGAGAGCCATTGTAGTCACCAACATCAGATTGAGATCCTCTTTGAGTACAACCAGTTGTTTCAACAGCTATATTATTTCTCAAAGATTTACAATTGCTGACATTTGGAGCAACCCTAATGGGATGGAGAGGTGTATTCGAGCAAGAACCTTCTTCTACATTATCTTGGATGGCAGGATTATCCATATAAACAGCACCATCAAAGTACATAGTTTCCTCAGAAACCTCCTCACTCTGCCTTGGAACTTTGTGAAAACTGTCTTTAGGGCATCCCAACTCATATTCAGTTTCACTTTCATCATCAGAGAGGATTACACGAATACGCTTCCGACCAACAACTGTCTGCTGAGAGTCTGCTACTGCAGAACAACCTTTCTTAGTCTGATCAGTGTCAACATCTTGTTTTCCTGAAACTTGTTTCCTTTTGAACAGGCGTTTTCCAGGCTGGAGAAATGAAATTAGTGGCACGTCATCATCTGCTTCATCTGCTAACGGTTCTATTCCAAGTGGATTTGATGTTTGGAGTTGTGGTGAGTCACATGCATTTGGCCTATCATTTGATATATTCCCATGTTCTTCTGAGTCGGTCTCAGAGCATTCATCTTGTGTACCACATTCAGCTCTCTCAGCATGCTCTGACTCCTTCAGATCTTGTATTTTGTCCTTCAAATCCCTAAACAGTAGAATGATCTATGAGAAAAATGAAATATTTCAAACTGCTAACCTTAGACAATTTTTTGTTTCTATATATATATTCTACCCAGTCACTACATATTTCATAGTAAAGGTTACCTGGCTTTGTGAGTATTCCCAAATCTCATCATATGGCTATAATGCATTTGTTCCAATGCTGTAAGCTGAATTGAAGGAAGATTAGCTTTCGAAGCAATTCTGCAGGATCACATGAGAGTAAATCCAAAGAGACCAATAGTTAAGTTCTTAGCATGAAATATGTGTGCATTCACATGCATGTATATGCGACATGTTTAATTTATCGAAGAAAAACAAATTTGGAGTGATTGAAAATGTAAAACTCTGCTATTACTATCGAGAGTGATCATGAAAAGTACTGATAAAAAAAAACATAAATTATGTATTCATAGCCATAGTGCAGTAAATTCTTGAACTTAGTTGAGAGGGACAACCAACAAGCAGTTAATTACATTACATTTACATTTTCTCTGCTTTAAACGTTCCTTCAAATTTTCCTTTCAAATTTTAACAATGTTTAGATCTTCAGTCATAGGTTAAATGGAATTTGTCATTTTTCTTAAGGAAGATTCATAAGTAGGGGTTTTACTATGATTGAATCACAAACATAACTACTCAGCAGTTAAAAAAATGCATAATTTGATCAAGGACGCTCTTATATAGATTATATTAGTAATTGGATCTACCTGTATGCCTCTTCAAATGCTTGGAGTGCTCCCGTCCATTCACCAATACAGTCCAAACCATTACCTATATTGATTTTCGCTAGTGCTTGACCCTACAAGAGACCACCAAAAGTGAATTTAGAATCACGAACGCAGAAAAGCTATAGTATTGACAAATCCCAAAAATAGTATGATCAGTGTTCCTTTCACACCAAAAATGTCCAGTAGCATCAATTATTTCTGGTGCTGTGAATCACATTATCATAAAAATAGTGAAAATAACTTTTTATAATTAAATCGTGCAAGCAAACAAATATCACCTCCAGGTTACCAATTGTTTCGAATCCCTCATAGCCTTTAGTAAGCCACTTCAGGGATTTTTTGAAATTTCGGAGCTTATGGTAAGACTCTCCAACAACCAAGAAGGCATCACTCAGCTTTTCCTTGTCACAGAGTTCTTCTGATATTTTCTTCTTCCTTTTTGAAAATTCAAGATGCTAAGACATTCAAAATAAATTGTGACCTTTTAGTTGCATGCAAAGATGAAATAGCAGTTTCCTACTTAAATTTTCAAAACTATATCACGAGTCATTGGAACGGTGACGCAAAGACTTGGTTCATATATTGCTCAATATCGTATGATACAGAATAAAACTAGTTTTGCCTTTATTTTGGCAAGTTTAGCACTAAAATATTATCCACCTTGATCAGATAATGTTTTCTTGAGAGAACAAAAATTTAGTATTCTTGGATTATATACTCTTCAGGAATGATCTTAAAAAGACAGTGTCAATGGCTACCGAACGAATATTTTAAAGAGAATAGCATAACTGTCCTACTCCATAAGTACCCTGGTACTTACTCGTCATTAACAAATCTCACGGTTCTTACTAGTCATTAAAAAAAACCGGGATGAACAGCTCTAACTTCAATCAACTTTTGAAACACATGCAAACATGGTATGGAGTGTTTGGACTGAAAAGAAAGGAGTGTTTAAGAAAGAAATTTCACCTTTATCCATGCAAATACCATGCTAGACTTCTCAATAAGACGTTCAAGACAAGCATGCACTTGAAGCATAGACTTTCGTTCCTCCGAAGTGCCTTTCGCGTCAGTCATTTCTGCAGACAACTTCTTAAGCCTAAGCTCTTCGTCTCTCAATTCTTCCATAACTTTGAAGGCTTTCTTAACAATCTTGATATTCTGTTCTATCTGTTCAACCAATGCACTCTCGTCTTGCATAGATTTCGCTAGAGTAGAAGCTTTACCATAACACAAAAGTGCATTGTCGTACTTTTGGGTCTTGTAGTGTAATTCAGCGAGATTGATATACCCCTTCGCTTCTCCTTGCGAATGATTTATATTATGGCAGATATTGATATCCATCTCGATGTGTTTCTTTGCTTCATCCCAACTTCTCAGCTCCATAAAAACGTTTCCAAGGTTGTGGTGAAGCCTACTACGCGCAGCATCATACTCTCTCACCTCCTCGTCATGGCAAATCTTTAGCCCTTTCTCAAGAATATCACGGGCTGCATCAGGATTATCAAGATCAAGGTCAAGCATACCGATGTTGTTATGTGCATTAATATACTCCTCAAGAAAGCCGCTACATTGACCAGGGGGTGGTTTCTCCTTGAGAACCTGTGCAAGTTCCATGGCTTTCTTAAAGTACTTTTTAGCACTCTGAATGGCATCACAATCATCCTCAGACTTCAAGAATATTTCATGGTAGGTACGACCAAGTTGAGTACAAGCTCGTTGCTTCTCCACAGTGTCATCAGCTTCTTCAGCAAGCTGTAAATGCTTCTTCTGCAACAACCAGAAAAAAAAAAAAAACTTTAGCTCAACTCAGAAAAACATACTTTTTGCACAGGTAATTGATATGAGACCAAAATGGAACATCATATTAGCATAGTAGTTTTCCCAATTTTACAGTCCTCAGATACGCAATCTAAAACACATGGGATTCGACGAAGCTAAGAATATCCCCAAACACCAAAAATCAGCTGATCGAAGAGGTTTACCTGATAAACCAAGGCTTCTTCGAAATCCTGGAGGCGGAGATAGATCTCGCCAAGAGACTGACAAGTAGGTAACAAATCCTTCCCAGGTAAGTACTTGACGGAGATATCGTAATCGATCCGAAACCACTTGCGAGCCTCAACGTACTCTCCAAGATTCTTAAGGATATCGCCGACATTGTTCGCCCACTTGGCTTCTTCGCTCCGGTTACCCACTTCCTTCGCTTTCCGGTACGCCCTCTTCGCCGCTGCTAAATCCATTCGACCCATCGATTAATTTTCCGTTCCTCAGATGGTTGATTTCTCTCCGGCGAAAGGGTTTTTCCTTACCGTCCTTCCCAATTTCAGATTTCTCCAAGTTTCAATCTCTCAGTGATTTTCTCCAATTTCGCCAAATTTTTGGTGCCATCAAAATGATCCTTAGAAATGCCGCCAAAAAGTTAAGGGTAGTTTAGTAATAATAATTACCTAAACCCTGATGGGTTTAGTGCCTTGGTTCGAGTTTTTATTGGGCCTTGGGCTTCATATCTTCACTAGAAATAAAAAAAAGAACACAAAATAAAACCTTAGGGTTCCGAAGTGTCTCTCTTATTTAATCTCTCATTTTGAGCCGCCACAAAGCTTCTGCTTGAACTCGAAGACAGACCCCTTCCAGAGAATCCGGCGATCTAAATCTTCCCGGCGGCGAAAAAATGGTTGCGGCGAAGAAGACAAAGAAGTCCCATGAGGGAATTAACAGCCGATTGGCTCTTGTGATGAAGAGTGGAAAGTACACTCTTGGGTACAAATCTGTTCTCAAATCCCTTCGCAGCTCCAAAGGTAAAACCTTTCCTTCATTTGAATGGTAGGATCTATCTTTCTTTGTAAACCCGTTGAGTAATTGTTGGAATTGTTGGGTTTCTTAGGTAAGCTGATTCTGATTTCAAGCAATTGCCCACCTTTGAGGAGATCAGAGATTGAGTACTATGCCATGCTTGCCAAAGTTGGAGTCCATCACTACAATGGCAACAATGTTGATTTGGGAACTGCTTGTGGTAAATACTTCCGAGTGTCTTGCCTCAGCATCGTGGATCCTGGTGATTCCGACATCATCAAGGCACTTCCTAGCGACCAGTGATTCTGATTTTTGACGGTCTCTTATGATGTTGTCCTCTCTATGCTTTTCTATGCAATGTGTTCTTCAAAGACTCAATGTTAGGTTCCTTTGCTTTCTAAACTCCTCATTGGTCAAATTATTACATTTCGTCTCTGTTTGTCTATTATAGTCTATCTGAACCATTACTGGAGTTCGACTGATTGCAAAATTCTTGAGCATAGTCTATTTTCCATTTTTGCCTCAACGGAATTTAGTTAGATGGAGCTAGTTGGAGAGAAAAGAGAAGTGTTGGGGTCATAGAAAATATACCTATTCCGTGATTGAATTGCCTCCAACATTGAGTTCAAGAATAGGTCGAGTTTCACAGATTCTCAACATTGAGATTTAGGGACTTTTTATAGCACAGTCCTAGAATAAATTTGTATAGCATCGTCTGATGATCATGATATAAGAATTCAATTCTAGTGTTCAGCATATCATCACCCTTCCTATTCCATTGCTGCCAACCAACAGCTACCAAGCTTTACGCCATTCAACTCAGTTCTGCAAAGCTGAAGTGATTTAACATATGATGGTGTTAGATAGCGAAGTTAACTAAAAAAAAACTTTTTATGTTTTTCTTTAACCTGGTTAAAGTAGCCAATTAATTTAGCATAAGAGGGTTTGAATAGTACTTCCTGTCCTGAAACATGATTATCATACCCTGCATGTATGGATACATCAACTTTAAAGAACTGAAAAGAGATTTAAAATTAATTGTACACAACAGATTAGAAAGTTTATACAGAGTTGTGAAATCATCAGCATCCTTTTGGATTGTTCTTAATGTAAGTGAACAACGTTCCACATTCAAGCTGTAAAGTGCTAAGAAACAAAAGGGCACACATTAATGTTAGACAGTGTATGGAAAATAAGAGTTAAGGACAGGTTACTAATCGAACATATCTACTGGGTTTACAAGTCACCAGTGAAACCAAGAAAATAATACACACTGTCAGAGCAATTCGTAAGTAATAAAGAAACTATGCACCGGCAATTATTCAAAATAGTTGGGAGGTATGATCCACAAGTATCTGTAAGTCGATTCCTTCACATACTGAGGACTTAAAGCCGATTGAACTGGACAGGGCATTTACAGACCTGGTAGAGAGGAGTATATTAACAATACGAAAAAACCATTAATATGTGAAACTTTTTAGCTGTGAGCCTAGCAGTGTACCTGAAACGAAGTAGTTGGACAAAATCGATTGCAGTGCAAATCCAAAGTTAAAACACTCTGCTATATAATTATCCAGAGATTATGAAAAGTACTGAAAGAAACACCTGCATTATTTAACCAAAAAAAAAAAGAAACACCAGCATTATATATTCATAACCATAGACCATAGTGTAGTAATTCTTGAACTTAGTCCAGAGGGGCAACCAGCAAGCTGTTAATTATATTACGCTTACATTTTCTTCTGCTTTAGGCGTGCCTTCAAATTTATACAATGATTAGATCTTCAGTCATATGTTAAATAGAATTGTCATTTTTCATAAGGAAAAAGGGAGGGGTAAGTCGGTAACTTTTACTCCGACTGAATCACAAATAACTAGGCAGTTTTAAATGGGCCTTGGGCTTCGTATCCTGATGGTTCTAGGCCTTAGTTCGAGGTTATAATGGGCCTAAGGCTTCGCATCCTGAGTTAAAAGGAAAAATAAAAACCCTAAGGGTTCCGAAGTGTCTCTTTTATTTAACCTCTCATTTTGCGCCGCCCCAAAGCTTCTGGCTGAACTCGAAGACAGACCCATTCTAGAGTACCCGGCGATCTGAATCTTCCCGGCGGCGAGAAAATGGTTGCGGCGAAGAAGACGAAGAAGTCCCATGAGGGAATTAACAGCCGATTGGCTCTTGTGATGAAGAGTGGAAAGTACACTCTAGGGTACAAATCTGTTCTCAAATCCCTTCGCAGCTCCAAAGGTAAAACATTTCCTTCATTTGAATAAGGTTGTATGATCTATCGTCTTCGTAATCTCGTTGAGTAATTGCTGGAATTGTTGGCTTTCGTAGGTAAGCTGATACTGATATCTAGCAATTGCCCACCTTTGAGGAGATCAGAGATTGAGTACTATGCCATGCTTGCCAAAGTTGGAGTCCATCACTACAATGGTAACAATGTTGATTTGGGAACTGCTTGTGGTAAATACTTCCGAGTGTCGTGCCTCAGCATCGTCGATCCTGGTGATTCCGACATCATCAAGGCACTCCCTGGAGATCAGTGATTCTGATTTTGACGACTTATTGTGATTTTGCCATGTTCTCTCTCTATGCTTTATTATGCAATGTCTTCTTCAAAGACTCTCAATGTTTAGGTTTCTTTGCTTTCTGAACTCAATGGTCAAATTGTTACATTTCGTCTCTGTTTGTGGATTCTTTTACATGTGAAAGGCTTAGACTTATTGGTTCCAACGATGGATTAGTAGTAACTTATACACATTTTCAAACTACACATTTGTTTTTGGAAATGAACGTCATAATAATAAACAATCTCGACACTTCTAACGTTGAACAATCTCTTATGCTCAGACAAATTACCAAATTAAAATCTCAATGATCGAATAGAAACGCTTCATCCTGTAAGAACTTTCTACACTTTCAGGGAGCGAACTTCTTCTTTTAACAACCAACAAATTTGACACAGGGATTAAGAAACAGGAACGATCAATTGTTGTGGTTTTTGGCTTACTTCAACTTCATCACAGACAACTTCTTCTTCGTCTCCATTATAGCTTCTTCTCTTTTCTTTGCTACCTCTTTCATCTCTTCCTGATACTTAGCTTCTATCTCTTCTAGTTCCTTTCTTAACCTTTCTTCTTCCTCCAAACTTACTGGTTCAGTTGCCTCTTCTGCTTCTTCTTCTTTGAAGCTCCCGTTTTCACCATTGGTGGTATCAACACATTGCTTATCTTCCTCGTCTGATCGTGGGAAATCTGAGTTACATGAGTGACTAACTGACTCACAAGGATCATGAAAAGGAGTCTCCTCTTGTCTCTGTGTGGTCTTAGCTTCGTTCTGCTGACTTCTTGAGTTCTGATTTAGTTGAGAGTGAATGAGATGGTCGACTGTGACATCAGTTTTCCAGGTGGGTATCATGTTGACAAGTAATATATCGATCAGTTCGGCTATAAACGTGACGTTCTGGTCAGTTAACTCGAGCTGCTCAACCATTTCACTCGACACCTTAGAAGCAGTGTCACCTTCTTGATAGAACAGGAAATGGATGTTCCTCACACGTCCTACAACAAGAAACAGTTATATCAAGTCTCAGAATGCAGAAGCGATAGATATGTAACTGGAGCTGAACCACAACGCTCACCATTCTCATCTACTATTCTAAGAATTAGCGACACAGAGTGTTCATCGTTTTCTTCTCCCTTGAGCACAAAGAAATTCCCTCTCTTTGCTCGTCTAACCTCAATACACCTAGATCCTGAGTTGTCGCTAAAGGTAACAATAGGCAGGTTGTCTTCATCGAGATCTATAGACATAGGTTTGCTACGCCGTGCTGTAGGGGGCCCTTCAGACATAAGGCAACGATCTCCAAACGCACCATCTTTGGGCATTACAATGTCCGGAAGCGGCAAAGGGTTGTTCACTGTTAAACCATTGACATGAAGGAAAGGGTCCAACAGAAGCTCTTTTGCTGATAATCTCTCCGATGCAGGAAGCAAGCATTTTTCAATAAACTGCTTTACTTCTGGGTCTTGAACCCTCGAGAGTGAAGCTGGTTTTATTCCCTTGAAATCACCATCACCAAGAAACACATTTGGTTATAAAAAATCTTGTCAATAAACTAACGACAGGAATTATGTGGAATATACCACTTTGTTGCTAACTCACCGATGAAACCTTCTTGTATATCTGAGCAGAGTTTCTGCATTCACAGTATGGATATTCAAATGTCACCATCTCCAACATACACATCCCAAATGAATAAATATCAGCCAGTTCGTTGTAGTTCTCATCATAGAGCTCTGGTGCCATAAACTCGGGAGTACCTGTGGCACATAAGAAAATGTTAGTTTAAAATGTGACAGACAAAAGAATATAGACAGACAAAAGAATATAGCGTGATCATTATTATATCCTTTTTCGTTGGGTTAAAAGCAGAATATGTGAATAAGTAAGTAACATCAAGAAGCAGGAAATAGAAGTTATACCAATGACACTTTTGGCATTAGCTTGCTCCATGACAGTGGCTAGACCAAGATCTCCTATTTTCACTTCCCCATGGTTTCCATTGATAAATATGTTATCGCATTTGAGATCCCGATGTATAATTGGTGGCTCTTGACCATGAAGATATCTCAAACCCATTAAAATCTGCCTCGCCCAATTTTTCACAGCCTTCATGTTCACCTTCCTGTGTTTCTTGCGATAGCTAAAAAAGAGGATTGCTTACACTCCAAAACAGTAATCACCACAAAAACAAGAAAGAAGGAACAGAAGACTAGAGTTTTGTGGTAAAGAGGAAAGGAGATACGTACTGTCGGAGGCTTCCTGAAGTGAATAGCTCAGTTATTATGTTAACTGTCTTGTTCTTATCATCTATCCACGAGTTATAGAACCTGATAATATTACTGTGCTTCAATGATTTCAACAGACGCACTTCAGAATACAGCCTCTCCAGGCAATTCGGTGACTGCAAAACATCATCTATTCGTACTTGGTTCCACGCAACTTCAATCCCATCTACTTCATCGAATGCCTTATAACTGATTCCTTGAGTTAAGGTATAAACCAAAAAATTATACAGAACACAGAAAGAAATAGTCTTTCTCGTAAAACAATTTTACTGACATGGTACATTCCTAGAAAGCTTGTGATATCAAGAATACTCTAATCTAAGAAATTAACATCAAAACAAACCGGAAAGGATACACAGTCTTGAATGCACCTTTTCCAATTACCTCTTTATACTGAAAGGTCCAACAGTTAAGAGGTAAAAAAAAATATAAGATATCTTAATCCCCACACAATATTACCCAAAACTTAAGATTTGAAAAGTAAAATAAGACAAAGGGAGGTGGATCTTAACCCCTCTTTGCTTGGTTGTATAGTATCAAATATCCACCAATTGAAAGGTCAACACTTAACAAAAAGAAGAAGAAAAATATATAATTATCAGAGAGCCTCCTCATACCCGTATATATCGAAAAGTTGGATCAACTTCAAGCACTTCGGGGTCAGGAGGCTCCTGAAGTGTGCAACCATCGTCCGAACCATCCATTCTTTCTTAAACCTTGAAAAGTATATAGCAGAAACAACCCAATAAACACAGAATCTTTATAAAAATCCTTTGATTCTTTTTTAGTGCAATAGGAGAATATTCAAGGTGAACAAGAAAAATATCCACATTTTTGTGAAACTTCTAAATATTAATGGAATCAGCTCAGATCAAACAACAAAATCAAAACAATCATATTCAAGTGTCGCTGGAGGATCGTGACATCATTTTCGTAAAGCCAATCCAATAAGGCAATTCTCTTCTTCCCAGATTGATTTCCCTCAATAAGCACATTCGACACAGGCATAAACAATTACTATAAACTATTTCAAAAATTTGAGACGAGAAAAAACAAAAAAACAAAAAAACAAAACAAGACCCACACCAACATCAGCATATATTCATATGAAGAAGACTAATTCTTATCAATGCGTACATTCATATAAAAAACATAGAAAAATAAACGATGAAAAAAAATTTCTCGCCCAAAAAGGTATAAGGGGTAATGAATTCGCGTGAACTTTTTTATACATATGATTCTGACGCTTTGATTACTACCTGAAGAAACGGAGCTTTTGTTCTGTAATTGAGACGAAACGGAGAAGGAGAACAACAATGAGAGGGAAGAATCTGAACCCTAATTGAGAGGAATCGATGGATGAAGAAGATGCAGCGACACGGGAAAATAGCACAAGTGTTTGTTCTTAGCTAATTTACGAATTACGAACAACTACCTCTATTTTAAATATTCATTGTTTTTTTCCCAAATTAAATTTGGTTTTTAAAGAATTAAAATGAACTTTTCAAGTCCTTTTCTAAAAACAGAGAAACGCTCTCTCCATGCAATCATGACGTGTCTATACACGTGGCACTTAATTTGCGTTTCTCAACGCGATTGCTGCTGACTAGGAAAATAGCAAATCTTTAACAAACACATGAAATTTGAAGTTCAATTTGTACCTAAAAACTACTAACATAATCAAATTTATTTCTTTGCCTGCGCAAAACCACTTCTTGCAAAACCAAGCACACCGTCAAATAAACCATTGAAGGAGACTCCCATGAAGATCAGGTCTATGAGTAAACAAACATTTCAAAGAAAATGGTTCTCCTCCTCATCGTGATAAACCTAAAATGTTGTCATCATCTTCGTCTGTAGAGGATCCGTCGAATAAGCTCCCACTAGTATGCCTGCTATGATCAGTCAGATTCTCGTCCCTATCAGAGTGTCCGATCTGGACGTCGCGGTGTTTAACTAGGAGCCAGCGCAGCAGTTTGTCTTCCTTGTTGAGGTAGTGAAGCTCCTTGTTCATGTTTGGAGTTGCCATCATTGTTATTTGCATCAATTGTCCCTGCAGTATTCATTCCATATGATAATATTATATATACACACTTAAAGCTCCACGGCAGACAATGGTCACTAAGCAAACTAGAGACTCTGCAGATTAGTGAGAGAGAAGATAACAAAGACGCATGTTCAATTTTAAGTATCTGCAGATTCTATCAAAGAGACAGGAGATTGATGTATAAAGCTGGTACCGATACTTTCAAAACATATGATAATCCTAAATCTACTGCAGGTCGAAACTATTGTATCTGGTTACATCCTATATCCTCCACCTTAGCTCAAATTCTATTCCTACAATAGCCAAATTGTTTAAGAACATAACCAGTTTGAAGACATCTGTAAAGTGAAAGCTGTGATTGCTTGTACTCCACAGTAAATCCATAAAACTAAATAATAAAACTACACACTGAAGATCCAAAGCCAATCAAGCTCTCAAAGAAAAGAAAATCACAAAATCTAAAGACTAAAATGCAGCCTTTACAACTAGTGAAATCTAAAGACTATCACTCGAGGATCGTAGCCAGCATTTGGGTAAAATGAGTGCATAGTTCTCGTCAACTCTAGCTATATTAACCATAAGAATCAATCTGAAAGATGCGAGACACAGTGCATTTCCGATAAGGTCTAGAAAGGCCAACCTAAATCCTAATGCTTGAATCGACCTGAGAAATCCTAATTCCCAAACAATCACCAGGGACTAATGAAATCACCAATTCAGTAAGAACCCTAACGCAATTGAATACCTGATAGTGTCTTCCGTCGAGCTTCCTAATACCGTAACCCAATTCGACCTTGCCAAAGGATTTGACGTCGGTGAGGACACCATTTCTGCTGTAAACGTGTTTCCCAATGCGCGCAACGAGTTCGATGAGGCCTTCCTTTCTGATTATTGGTTTGAACAGAAGCATACAGTCGTAGAGCGGCATTTTTTATTTTCCTCTTCCTTCCGACGACAAAGAGATTAGATTCGGACTCTCTCTCTCGTTTTTTAGGGTTTTTACTCTTCACAGCTTCGCCGTCGGGTGACCAAGTTCTCTTTTCCTCGAAACGACGGCGTTTACTATTTTTGTTTATTTTATTTTTTGCCTGTGACTTTGATAAGAAAAATGGTTTGTTCACCTAGAAAATAGAAACCCAAAGAGGTATCACAGGATCACAGTATTGATAACCAACCAAATAAAGCTTTTCTAATATGCACAATCATGAAAATCATTATCATTAGTGTATGTATGTTTACCATTTATTTACATGGAAATTTCTTTTCTTTCTTTTTTGGGTACAAGTTTATTTACATGGACCACAATATCATCCAAAGAGTAGAGAGCTTAATATTATTTACATACGCACATTATGTAAAAACCAAAACCAAAACGAAACCCAAAATGGGTCAAGATTCTGAAACATCAACATCAAACATCAAAGGGTGAAGTGGTAACCGAGGAAGGGTTTGATGTGGATTGACTAAGCAACAAATGATTCTTCATTTCTTTGTAGGACCTCAACTCTTCCAAAGCATCAGCTGTTGTCTTTGAGGTCAAAGCAAGCCCCGAGGCTGTGATTGACGCTACTGCTATCTCCTGAGCCCGTGCAGGTTTGTTGTTGTTGTTCCAACAAATTTCAGGAATGGAAGATTCGGAGACATCTTGTCTGAGAGGTGGAGCTTTTTTCAGCATTTTCACAAGGGCACCAACTGCAGCATCTTGGGACTTTTTAGGGAATGAACCGCTTGACTCGAGTGGCTCATGCATGTCTCCTCTGTGGTCGAACGACCCTGGTCTGAAATGAGGCAGTAAAGCAAAATCAGTTTCTACTGGAAACAGTTACAAAACAAAAGGCCTTAAGAACTGAATCAGGATCCCGCAGAGCAAACCGAACAAGTGTTATTTGATGACTACAAAACCCAAAAGAAATCATATATAAGTGATAGTGAATTGTTTAGATTTCTTGGTTTCTCTACTAAACAATTCTCTAGCTTCTTTGTTGAAGATCAGTACAAGAATACGCCAAAATTGATGGAAGCTACACGGATATAGAAGCACTATGATAATCATTTGCATCTAATGGCTGTTTAAAGCTCAAAGTAAGAAATTATAAAACAAGCTTCTTAAGTTGTATTGATTAGCATATAGAGGCCAGGATTAGCAAATCTCTAAACTCATTTGGTATTTAAAAAACCACTTAGAAAGAACAATGGGAACCAAAATCCATATAAATACATATCATATGCGTAGGCTGTAGATAAAATGGAAAAGAGACAATGAGAGATGTAAGTTTTTAAAGACAATACCTGCTACTACGATCTGTAATATCATCATACTCAACATCAAATGGGCAAGGGAAATCAGGATCATCAAAATCTTCTTGGAAAGATCTACTAGAACTCCGGGAAAATGATATCCCCGGTGAGCTGTTGGAAGACGGCCTCACCCCAGAATGCTTTCTAAAGTCATCTCTCCCATAAAGAAACAGCTGGAGGAAAAATGAATTACAATTTCACTCGTTCAGTCACATGATCCAAAAAAGAGATAAAAGATAAGACGGGTGGAGTACGCTTACCTTGTCTACTGCTGGTCCAGATTCACCAGGACCAAAGTTTCTCACAGGCTTTAAAGAGGCGTGTCTCGACAATTTTAGATGAGGGTTAGGTGCCACAATGTTTTGTTTGGACTGGAAAGTCGGAGCTGGGATTCTCACTGGAGCACTTTCAGTACGTGTGATGCCTCGTGGGACAGCCTGTATTGGTGCTGAAGGAGAAAGAGGAGGGGAGAAATCTTGATAAGCAGAATACTCTTCAGGGTAGCTTTCTTTCCTTCGACCCGTGGGTATCTCAGAAGGGTGAGGAGGAAGGTGACGGGTACAGGGATGTGAAACCAATGCATGTGAATCTGAGCGTGTAGGCGATGGTGAGCAAGAAACAGAAGGTGGAGACGCCTTGTGACGATCAAAACTCCAGCTATGGCGCCTTTGAAATGGCAACAAGGGAGGTGAGCCATATGAAAGAGGAAGGGAAGGGAACCTCTTTAAAGGATCAGCCAGGGGACTTCCAACATAATCGGTTATAAATGTTGGAGACATAGGAGTCGAGTGTTCGCAACTGACATCTGAGAGAGAACGATATAGAACCGACAAGCAAAGTCTACCACATATAGTCTCAACAGGTGTGAAAGAAAACTTCTGCATTTCTGCCTCTTCTCTGCGAGTGAATGGCTCAACAATAGAAGGGACCCTAGGAACAAGCTTGAACTTGAAGATCTGCCCAGAGGAATTGAGTTCCCGGAAAATCTTATAAGCAGGCAAAAGCCTAACCATCACAAACAATGACCTAAGCAGCAGAGTTGCCTTCTTATACATCAGTTGCAACTTATTACTACTACTTGACCTCCTGCTGCTGGTAGTAACAGATTCCCTGATCTTCCTATTATCATACTGCACCACCCATCTCTCAATTATCTGCTCGTTCTTAGTTTCACATCCCAATTCATCTTGATCAGAATTCCAACCCGACTGGTACTCTTTCTCGGAAAAGTTCCTGATAAGCTCCCTTTTAGCAGACAAGTTCATCTGATCACCAACAAGTGGCCTCACCACAAGAACGACATCAACAACCAAAGGCTCAAGACTGCTTCTGCGCCCGATATCAAAACTCTCCAGCGCCGCAGGACATTCCCTAAGGGCAAGATTGAACCATTTGTCCCGAGGCCTGACACTGGAGGAAGAGGAAGAAGAAGAGGAAGGGGAACAAATCATCTGGTCACCACTAAAATTCCTCGAAGACATAAAAGGAGTCCTTGATTCAAGAATAATGTGAAGGCTTTTAGCAAAGAACTCAAATATGATCTGTTCTGCTTTAGCACCTTCTGAATTGTTGTTGTTACTCCTGTTGTGTGAAGATGACATCTTTCCTTTTTGATCACTGAAATCAATTGAAGCAAAACTGTTCCTGGGAAATCAAAATACAAAACCAAAAACGAAGATTGATTCGAAATCAGTAACCTTTACTAAATACGCATTTGATCAAATCCAACAAAATCTAGAGTAAAACCCCATAAATCGAGGAGCAACCCAGAATCATTTATATAGTTCTCGATCATCAAATCCATGTAATAAACAAAAACCAGTGAGTAAAAACTACAACTAAAATTAAAAAAAAAAACCTAAAACTCAGAGCAGAGCAAGTAGTAAAGCGAGTAGTGAGTAAGTATCGTTACCTTATCGTCTCCTTGACTAGCTTGTAACTTCTTCGTCTACTTCGAAATTGTTCTGATACGAATTAATTTTTTGGTGGATACGAATTAAACGGCAAAACTGAAAGAACCCTAAAGACGAAAAGAAAAAAAGGAGAAAACTTTGGAATAGAATAGAAAAGCTTTGTTCAAAAAAAAAAAAAAAAAAAAAAGAAAAGCTATCGTCTTTGTGACTTGAACAAAACCATGGGAAGACGAAACAGAATCGAAACCCATTAATTTGGGGTGATATGTATTCAAGCGAGCTTTATCGTCATTATCAGATTATTATGTTCATTCTCAAAATTCTTAATACTTTTTCAGAGAGAAGATTTCTTCTTCTTCGACTTCGTGACTCGTTCGATACACACTTTATTAACTTTCAATTTCTTTTTCTTTTTTTTTTCTTTTTCAAATTTAATATATATTATGTATTTTTTAAACTCTTTAAGAGGGAGTCCCATGAGCCAGGTCTTTCGTAGGTAAAAGAAGTTAGGAATATACCCCCTCAAATATTTTTAATTATCCAACGAATGTTAAAAATAAAAATTTTAAAAAAATTACTCGTTTGCTTATCGAATTAAAATTTGTAATATTTAGCAAAATTTATTATAAAAATCTGTTATATATATATATATATATATATATATATATATATATAACGTTATTTAGCAAAATACGTATTAAAGAAAATTTAGTGGCAACTGCCCAACTGACTAAAAGAAATTGATAGAGAGATGATTTATTTATATTAATCATTTGACATGCATCATCAGATGTGCGAATATACTATATGATTTTGTTTTTTTTTTTTTTTTTTTTTTTGCCGACGAACCCCATACACTAGTTTATCGGAATTGATTCTCTTCGTGAGAGAGCCAAACAGGTACCGACAAACCTACATGGGAAAAGCAGTAACCGCGTAATCTTGCACATTTCGCAAGTTTATCGGCACTGATATTTTTAAGCCTAGAAATATGTTTTAAATTGAACTCCAGAAATGAGGCTCTAAGTTCCTTGTAGTCTCGAATCTCTGAAGCAAAGGCCGGCCAATCCTCATCGTTTGCCATCATTCTAACCAAATCCAAGCAATCCGTTGCAATTGTAACTTGAACCACCAATAGATTGCTCAGACATTTCATTGCCCAAAGGAGAGTATCTAATTCTGCATGGATGGGCGAAAGACTTCGTGGGGAGCAACGCAAACCTAGTTGGAAAGTCCTATTACCAATGGAAGCTATCCAACCATGACCACTCCTCCTATCCTTCTCGTGCCAAGATCCATCAACATAACACACCAACGCGTTCGTTGGTGGAATCCATTCGTCATCCCTAAGTGTCCGCACACTAGGTAAGGCTACCAATGTATTAGCTTTTCTCCAAAGTGTTTCCTCTTGAATTGCTTTATCCTTCGTATCTTGGGGTAGCTCCGAAACATTCTCGAAGATCAGTTTATTCCGCGCTTTCCAAATATACCACATATACCATGGAAAAACGCTTAAATCCGCCTCGATGACACCACCTTCTTTTCCTCTCCAGAATAGGAAATCAAGATTACCATACAAAGAAGAAAGGGGGAACACCGACGGGTCTGTTGGAATAGGTGAAAGGGCCCACACTTGTCGAGCCGGGGGGCATTCAAAAAATAAATGGTTGATCGTTTCTTCCTCTGCCCCACAACGGGGACATTCTTTATCTCTGCCGATGTGGCGAAAATGTAACCTTTGACAAGTAGCAAGGCATCCTGTCACACATTGCCACACTAGATGTTTTAACTTCCGTGTGGTTTTCAATTTCCAAGCTTGCGCCTTAAGTGCCGTGACACAGGGTCCCTGAAAAGGGAGGTCGCAAGAAGGACGAGATAACAATCTCGCAGCCTCATAACCGGATTTAACAGTATAGTTCCCAGATTTAGTGAGGGACCAACTATAAGTGTCAATGGTTCTATTTATACTCGGTTTAATTCCCATAATCAGGGTAATTTCTTTCGGGGGGAAAAGTTCCCGGAGCTTATCGACTCGCCATCGTTTGGATTCTGGGTCGATGAGAGTAGAAACACTCACCAATGGGTTCCTGTCGTCCCCTAATCCAATTGGAGGACGGGGACGGACATCCGGGATCCACGGATCTGTCCAAATATAGGTTTGAAAACCAGAGCCTATATTTTTCCTAATGCCGGAGTTAAGGACATCTTTGGCGGCAAGCATACTTCGCCAGCCATAGGACGGCCGATTGGAGGTAGAAATTTCCAATGGGCTACTATACCGAAAATAGCGACCCTTCAACACCCTACTAAGTAGGGCATCTGGATAGCGGAGTAGACGCCATAATTGCTTTGCTAACAGAGCGTAATTAAAATCTTCCAGGACACGGAATCCTAGGCCGCCCTCCGAAAAGTGCGAGCAGACTTGGTCCCAGGAAATCCAATGGATGCCTTTACAGTCTGCTTTATTACTCCACCAAAAACGAGCCATCGCACTATTTAACTTGGTGCAAATCGCTTTTGGAAGAAGAAAGCACGACATTACATATGTCGGAAGGGCTTGGGCTTGGGATTTGATTAAAATTTCCTTCCCTCCCTTAGAGAGAGATTTAGACGACCATGAATTAACCCGACTATTCAACCTATCCCTAACAAAAGCAAAAACCTGTGCTTTTGATCCATGGATTTTTTCGGGGAGGCCCAAGTAAGTCCCCATACCACCTTCTTGCGATATCCCCAAAATTGATTTGATTTCTTGTCGTAGGTTGGGATCCACATCATTGCCAAACATGACAGAAGATTTGGCAAAGTTTATTTCTTGCCCAGAGGCGCTACCGTAAGATCGAATGATCTCAATTACAGAATTAATTTGTTGGGGATCAGCCTTGCAGAAGAAAAGACTATCATCTGCAAAGAGGAGGTGAGAAACCCGAGGGGAGGCACACGCCACCCTCAGCCCTTGGATTGTACCAATCCTCTCGGCATGTCTCAATTGAGCGATGAGGGCTTCCGTACAAAAAATAAACAGGTACGGAGAAATGGGGTCTCCTTGGCGGATTCCTCTCTTGGGCCGAATGCGGCCTTTAGGCTCACCGTTGAGCATTACTCGATAGGATACGGATGTAATACATTGCATAATCCATCCAATCCAGCGATGATCGAAACCCATTTTTTCCATTAGCACCTGAAGAAACTTCCACTCCACTCTATCATAGGCCTTACTCATGTCTGTTTTAATAGCCATGAATTTTTTTCGATTCGTTGGGTTGGAGCGGAGCGCATGGAAATTTTCCTGAGCAATGAGGATATTGTCAGTAATTAATCGACCTGCCACAAAGGCAGATTGGGTCTCCGAAATTAAGTCCGGGAGATACTTCTTTAGACGTAAACTCAAAATCTTCGAGATTACTTTATAGCTTACATTGCATAAGCTGATCGGCCGGAATCCTGCCATCTCCCTCGGTCTATCACCTTTAGGGATAAGGCAAATATTAGTCTCGTTAATCTTGCCATCGAAGATGCCAGAAGTAAAGAAGTTCTTAACCAAGGTGGTGAGATCCTTCTTTATTACGTCCCAGAATTTCTGGTAGAATAATGCTGTCATTCCGTCCGGGCCCGGAGTCTTTGTTGGATGTAAGGAGAATAACGCTCTCTTAACCTCCTCTTCTGTTATCTCTCGGGTGAGGGAAACATTCATGGAGGGGGTTACTAAAACAGGGACTCTCTCAAGGGCCTGCAGAGGATCGGTGGCATTTGATGCCGTAAACAATCTACTAAAATATTCAACCGCAACTCTTTCCACACCTTCTTCGTTGTCAATCCAAACCCCGTTTTGATCGAGAATACCAATAATCCTGTTCCTAGCACGTTTTTGTTTTGTTGTGGCGTGAAAGAATTTTGTGTTCTTGTCACCTTCAAGAAGCCAAGTTTCTCTACTTTTTTGTTGCCAGTAAGCTTCTTCCTCTCTGTAAGCCTCGCATAACCTCCATTTAAGATCAAGGATGGAAGATGCGGAAACATTATCATCATTGTTAGCTTCGTCAATCTTATCCTGGAGATCTTTAATAAGCAACTCTGAGTTTGACTTACTAGATTTCCTCCAGTGAGAGATTAATCGTCGGCAATTCTGAATTCGCCCCATAAAATGGGTATTGTCTTGTGGGTTTGAGGCGCTCCAGCCTTCCGAAACAACCTCTCGAAAACCCGGTTTATCCACCCATCTTTTGTCAAACATAAATCTTCGAAAGTATTTTTTGGGTCGATCTTGGATAATAGCCAAAAGCGGGCGATGATCGGATCCCCACATTTTCAAATACTCCACATTTGTGTGGGAAAAAATATGGTGCCATTCTTCATTTCCCATTGCCCGGTCAAGTCTACATCGGATTTGTCCATTTGTTCTTTGGCCTATCCAGGAAAAATGATTCCCTTGGAAAGGGAAATCAATCAAACCACAAGCATGTATCATGTTGCGGAAGGGGAGGAAAGAGGCCTCGGATCTTTTCTTTCCCCCTCGTTTTTCATGATTCCCCGTAATCTCATTGAAATCCCCAATGATAAACCATGCTTCGGATCTTGTTATACCAATCCGATTAAGTCTTTCCCAAACATATTCACGGTTTGCAACAACTGGGTCTCCATAAATAAAAGTCATAAATACCCGATTTCCATTAATAATAGTTTCGATATCAATAATCCGGTCATCTAACAATAAAAACTTAACCGGATAATCCTTCGAATATAATAGAGCTAGACCTCCACTAAAGCCATCCGGGTCAACCGTTTGGAGATTATCAAAGCCTAACTCTACTTGCACATTTTGCAGAAAAAACTTATCGTTTTTAGTTTCCGATAAAAACAAAAAACTAGGTGAATACTTTCTACAAAGTTCCCCTAGTCGGCGGCGAGTCAACTTGGCTCCCACCCCTTGACAGTTCCAAGATAAGGTCCTCATGGTGGTGATTCGGGGGAGATCCGGGACTCCTCCTCACCTTCCTTCGGCTTTGGCGCCGTAGCCGCAATCGTCCTTCTCGTCAATGTTCCTCTCTCATCCAAAGGAGTCTCAAGAGAAACCGGTGTCTGCAAACCAGTACGGGGCCCCGAAGCACTCGAAGATGCTCGCTTTTTGGGGGAGCTCTTGCCACCGAACAGCTTCAGCTTCCTTGAGGCTGCTTTGTTGACTTTTGGGCTTGGGGGAACCGATTTTTTAGGGCCCAAAACAGCAGGCTCATCCACCAAGGGGAACACCTCACGACAGGCCCGTTTCAGAGAAGAGGGCCCAGGTTTCTGGTTGGGCCTTAGCGAAATGGCCTTCGCGGAAGGAGAAGCAACTCGCTTGCTCGTCGGCGAGGAGGAAGACGCCGGAATCGGCGACCGAGAACGAGAAATGGGAACCAGCTGCTCCGAGATTGTCCTTTCCTGACTCACTTCCACTTCCGGCGTCTCCGTTGGATCTTTCTCTCCATCTTCGGCCTCCATCATGTCCTCCCCCAGGAGATCATCATTCTCTAGCAACCCATCGAGAATCATTTCTTTCTCCATCTCCTCCATGAAGAGCACATCTTCTTCTGTAATTTCCCTATCTGGTAGGTCAAATTCATCAGCCAGGTTCTCCCAATCCGAGGGAACTGAGTCCATATGTTGGGTGCATTGGACTTCGGCGTCGTGTTCCTCCTCCGCCGCCCAATCAGAGAGACCAGCGTCGTCGATGTGAGCGTCAGAGCTGGGGCAAGGGATGTTATCCGTCACGGCGACCGGAGCAGGAGCGGTGATCAACGGGCTTTCTTCAGTCCCGGAGTTTCGAAGACCAGAGCCTGAACCAAATTCAAAGTTAACCGGAACTGGGTTAACCGGATCAGCCTCCGTATCGAGGTCATCATCGTTCATCAGGTCATCATCGGACTCCTGGACTTTTCCTTTACCTTTGTCCTGAGGCTTCGCAGGCTTCTCCGCATTAAGGCGGGATGATTGGTGGCGAGGCGGACGACGAGAGCTCCGCCATTGGTCAAGACTTGGTTCCTCCCTCGTGGGGGAGCGGATCCGAAGAGGTGAATCTCTCCGACGAGTAGACCTTCGGTCGTCTCTTCTTCCCGATCGGGAGAGTGATGGTTCCTGGCGAGAGGAATTTTGAATGGGAGAATCTCCCATCACCTCATCCGGTTTCTTCCTTGAGTCGGAAGACGAGTGGTTGGAATTGTCTCTGGATCGAGGAGCTTCATTTGCTAAAGATCCACCAATGCGTTTCCAGACTGGATTGCTCGACTCCTCAACACGAGGGATTTCCTTTGAAAGGAATAGGTTTCGCTGCACTCGTCGAGTATCAAAAGGGAAGTCACGACGAGCCAGGTGCAAAGAAGATCTTCTGGTGGAACCAGAACCAAGAGCAGGGTCCGGCCCCCGGCGAGACCGATGGTAAGCGTCATTGTTCTTCTGAATCTCTCGTGGCATGGGTTCTCTGGTGGAAACATTTGAACCCGCATCGTCAGATCGTAGCTCGCGGTCAGGGAAAGCTGAAGACCTGTGCTCTTTGTTACTTTGTCGTTGAGAGTCAGTGAGCAAAGGGCATTCTCTCTCCTCATGGGAGATCATGTGGCAGTTGAAACAATATCTGAAGTGTTTCTCATAGGAGAGGGACACCCAAACTTCATCCCCATTGTCTGACACCACCTTTTTCTTGAACTTGAGGGGTTTGGTAACGTCCACAGAAACCAGAACTCTGCCCTCGGTGGCGTCAACCTCGACGACAGTACCCAAAGCAGAACCAATGCCATGAAAGGCAGCATCCACCCAGCAGCGGAGAGGGAGATCCCGGATCTTTACCCAGAAATTGATGAAACTCAGGAGGTTCTCCTGGAAGTTCAGTTCCCATCTTTCAAGAGAGAACGTCCATTTGTTGAAATGACATGGCCTCTTCCTTAAGACCTTGAGGAGATCCGCTTCACATTCAAAGTTGAAGTGAAATCGGCCATTACCAAGGTCGAAACCACGGACCCGACCTTCAACATCCCAAATCCCAGGGCTTGGCATGACAGCCAGAAAAGCTTCCATACTTCTCCCTCCGGTATGAAAAACTCTCCCAATCAAAGTGAGACGAAAACGTCTTGAGAGAGCTTCGTTATCCAAGGCAGGCAGAATCACAGGCTCATCTTCATCGGAGGAGGCGTTGTGTCTGGAAACGTCCGAGCTACGTGCCTTGTTGTTCGACATTCTCCTCACAGGCGGGTAAAACAAAAAGGTCGAAGAAGAAATCGAAGAACAGAGAAAAGGTAGAAGGCAAGGGAAAACAGTCTGCAGCGAAGATGTGAGTGGGTAGAGGCTAAGAGCGGGTAGGTCAAATAGCAAACAAAAGTGGAAAGAGGTGCTATGAGCCTTAGAAGAACACAACATGTAAGTTGGAAGAAGGGGAAAAACATCTCTTTGTCCAGTGGGTACAAAGGAATAAGCTGAGAGTAGAAAGTTAAAGTTGGTGAGATCCATTTGGGTTTGAAACCTTTTCCTCTTTGGGGGTTCGAAGATTCTTGAGGTAAGGCAGAGTCATGTTCTTGAGGATTGAAGGATTCTTGTATGCGTTTTCCGTACGTTGGAGAACGAAAGTTTTAATTTTTAAGATCACGAGAACTATATGATTTTGTTAGATATAAACTCTTTTCTTTTCTTTAAAGAAAAACCAAAAAAAATATTAATCAACAAAAAAGGGAAATATTACATGAAAAAAAAGGGAAATATGCAACAACAAAAATAAGAAATTATTTTAGAAAAAAAAAAAAAAAAGGTTAAGATATGAGAGATATCGTCAAATAATAATCAAAAAAAAGTTGAATGCATACCAAAATAAAATTAATCAGTCGTGGTAACAAAAAAAAAAAAAATCAGTTCTCAGCTTTTACGATCCAAAAAAATGACAAAATCTTTTTACCTGGCGGGGTAGAGTAAAATGGCAAAAAGAAAGTTTGTAAAAGTCAATTGGAAAAGCTTTACTAGTTATAATTTCTTCGCCGTTGCTCTGATTTAACCTCAGTGTATCACACTAAACGAAAGAGATCGTATTAATTAAAAGAGAGCCTAATTGGGAGGCTCGAGAGGAACGTACAAAAATCCATTTATTGCTTTGCTATTTTGCCCGATGTGGTCCAGTGGTAAGGGAGAATTGGGGAAAGATTGAAAGGAACTAACAGGTTCGATCCATCCTAAAAACAAAAATCATGATTGTGTAGGAAGTCTGTCAATTAGGCCAAATCCCAGTTGGTTTACCTGGTAGTCAGAAATGCAGGCGGCACATTAGTCGGAAATCATTTCAAACTCGGGATAGACAGTATAGTGGCCCTTCGGAAAGAAGTCCATTCTGAAGCATTTCGATGCGTTTATAACGGAGCTGAACGGATCAGCCGATAGAGTTTATTAAAAAAAAAAAAAAAAAACACTTTTAACACACACATATAATCCGTGTCGAACAGAAAATACAATAAAGACATATCAATCTTATTAATTGGGCCACAAATAAGAGCCCATACATTTTCTGAATTTTAGGCCTGTATACCGTTTTTAGATTCCAATTGTTTTGAGTTTGTTTAGTCGATCCACCATTTTTAGTGTTATAAATGAAGCTCTTCTGATGGTCCAAGAACATTTATAAAATTGCTTTCGAGTTTAAACTCGTTGGAAATATCTCTCTACTATTTCACTCAACACATAACCAATTAAAATCTATATCGAAAGAATCACAGTTGAAAGACCTAAACCCTTAGTTTAAATTTTTTTAAAATCCCACAGCTTAATCTTGACTAAAAAACTACCATGGTTTTGTTCTAAATAAACTACCAAAAAAAAACGAGTTCTACGTTCTCATATACGCACTAGAGTATGGTAAGATGGAAGCCAACGTACGTATAAACTACAAAACCAGAAGAGAGCAGATAGAATGTATTATCTCTTTCCATATCAATTTGCCCAAGAAAGAAACATCAACTCTAAAGGCTTATACTCTTGATTTTTATTATGAACCAAGACAAATCTTCCAGCTTAACATATTTTATGCTTGCATGTATATATGCAAAATCAACCTTTTTGAGAATCTCTTCTTAACTAAAAGTATAATGTTTAACTATCATATATGACTATTAAATTTTCGAATGTGGAAAATCGTCTTCATCTTCAAATCTCTTGTAACGCACTACAAGATATTCTTTTTTTGTTTTCTTTGGTAATGGGGTATTCACTATATGATTTTTTAATAATCTAATTCTTTTTTTTTTTTTTGTAAGAGGCTGTGGGTATTCACTATATGATTTTTTAATAATCTAATTTTTATATGATTTTTTTTTAATAATCTAATTCTTTAGTTTATCATTTTAGTTGGCTATTATTATACGTGACATGCAAAATATTTCCCATGATGCATCAAGTTACTACTACTGTACAGAGATACAATCGTAAGTACTGTATCTCATGATAAGCTTTCTTCAACAATCGCTCATTAAATTAATCAAAGATCGGCAACATATTAAAAATATGGATGCAAAAAAAGTAATGGTTAAAAAGCAAAGTATCCCACTTGTGAATATTATTTGGCGGTGCTCTAATCCATGTCCAGTCCACAACCACAGATTTCAACCATATCATCAACTATCTCCAAGTCTCTATCTATAATTAAATCACCATATAATATACAAATTGTAAAGTTATGTTTACACTCTATATCACCTTTCTAATTCCGAAAACGAAAATATGAATACTAAGTCAAAGTTTGTTGTGTTAAACTATTAACAAAAGAGGAATATGTAATGGCATATGCTTAAACCAAACGAAGTTGATAAAAAAAAAAAAAAAAGGTTTGTAAATTCTTAACAAGCACTGTAAGATATAATCAGGTTGAAGTTTATATAATTAGATGAAACAAAACAAAATATTGAAATGCAAAGATTAAAAAGATAGTAAACACGGGACCAGAGATTAAGATTAGGGGAGATTATGTCGACGAAAGAGACAAAACTTAAATCCAGACGATAACGTTTGTGCCTTTGTGGAGTGCAAGCAAAACAAGGCCTTGGCTTGCCTCTATTGAGCAGATTACATCTGTTTCGTTTTCTCCCCTTTTTTATTTTTTTTTCTTTAATTGTTTCCTCCTTTTTTTTGTTTGCCTTTGTGCCAAAAATAAATAAATAATAATAATAATAATTGAATAAACTGATTTTATAATAATACAAAGGAAGGCTCACAAGTCACAAATATGCAGACAAGTTTATGGTTTAGATCTTGCGAAATCATTACAAAATATCGAAAAGAGATTTTGCATATATTACCAGTAAAGACGAAAGAGATAAAGAAATGCAAAATAGAATAATTTTATCAGAGAACAACAACATATACAGATCTCTATCTTTTTTTTTTACTATCACTATTGGTATAATCGTTTACTCAAAACGTACACATAACACATGTATCATGTATGTATACTTAAATAGTGAATTGTGTGACCTTTATTTGCAATCATTTTTTCAAAATATAATTAGGGAATTTACTCAAGAGCTGAGTCCAAGAAAAATAAACAAAGTTTCTCGAATTATAGAGGAATTATGAGGCGACAAGACACATGGAGAAAAAAATGAAGAAGCAATAATACAGAGAGGAACTATAGAGCAACAAAACACAACACTGCTTTACAACTCTCCCTATTCTTAGTGTTGCCAAAACCATCATAATAGAGATACAACTCAACAAGGTCCTCTTGATTTAAATCGCCAATTATAATAATACATACATACATACATTATCAAGGCTTACTTTTTTGTTGTAATTATTTTTTCTTCAATAAAGAAAAAAAAAAAGAAAAAAAGACAGATCAAAACTATTTCAAGGACCGAAGTGATTGTCCCTACAAAAGCATTTTGTAATATGGAAAAGATATGGTCAGAGAAGCACAAAAGGAAGGAAGGAAGGAGTCATGGAATTGGATAAGCTCTTTATGGGTCCCAAATTCCTCAATTTCATTTTCTAGAGATTAGAGAGAGAGAGA